AGAATCAGCTTGTCCATATCTACAAAAAAAATCCTGCTGCCATTTTGACTGGGAGTGTACTGCATCTACAGACAAATTTGGGAGAAATGGCATCTTCACTATAATGAGTGCTCCAGCCTGTGAATGCAGTGTGATGCTCTTTTATTTAGTTTTTTTATTTCTTTCATTGGTGTTTTGCAGTTTCTACCATATAGATCCTGTACATATATTGTTAAGTTTACATCTGAGTATTTTATTTTTTAATAAAGGTACTATTAGATAAGGTACTATTTTAGAATTTTGATTCCCAATGACCCGGTTGGTCATTGATGTAGTATATATGTAGGTATGCAGTTGATTTTTGAATATTGACATTTTCTACTGCAGCCTTGCTAAACTCATCTATTAGTTCTAGATTTTTTTATAGACACTAGGATTTTCTACATGTCTTCTATAATTAGAAACAGTTTTACCTCTTCTTCTCCAGGTTGTATATCATTTGATCCTTTTTCCTGGTTGTTTAATGAGCTAGGATTTCCAGTAGATGTTGACTGTAATGAGAGCAGACATTTTGCCTTGTTCCCAATATTAGGGGATAGGATTTAGTCTTTCACCACTAAGTGTGTCGTTAGCTGTAGGTTTTTAAATAGGTGTGCCCTTATCAGTTAAAAGAATACTAATCTAGCAAGAGTTCTTACAATGAATTAAAGATAAATCTTGCCCTGACCAGAGTGGCTCAGTCGTTGGACATTGTCCTGCAAAGTAAAAGGTCCTCGGTTCACTTTCTGGTCAGGGCACAAGCCTGGGTTGCAGGTCTGGTCCCCAGTCGGGGCACATGCAAGAGGCAACCAATTGATGTTTCTCACTCACATCACTGTTTCTCTTTCTTCTTACTCCCTTCCCCTTCTCTAAAAATAAATAAATAAAATCTAAAACGTTTTTAAAAAGAGGAATCTTCTTAAATGCCTTTTCTGCATCTATTAAGATGAACATTTTTTCTTTAGTTTGTTAGGGTGAATACAAATAATTTTCAAAAGTTAAATCAGCCTTATGTTTTAGTATAAGCCCCATTTGGTTGTGACGTATTATCTTTTTTATATATTTGTTGAGGATGTGGCTGTGTTCATGAGAAGTAATGGCCTTGTAATGTCTCTGTGTGTCTTTGGTATCGGGGTAATGATGCCTCATAAAATGAGTCGGCAAGTGTTCCTGCCTCTTTTATCTCCCTGAAACATTATATAGAATTGGAATTATTTTTTTCCTCAACTATTTCACAGAACTTTCCATTGAACCTGTTTAAAATTGTAGTTTTCCTTGTAAGAAGTTTTAAATTAAAAATGTAATTTAAAAAATAGAGCTCAGGCCAGTGTGGCTCAGTTGGTTAGATATTATCCTGTCAACCAAAAGGTTTTAGGTTCAGTTCCCTGTCAGGACATGGATGAGAGGGCAACCGATCGTTGTTTCTCTCTCACTCTCTGTCTCTCTCCCTTCCTCTCTCTAAAAGCAACGAAAAAAATGTCCTCAGGTGAGGACAAAAACACTTTTAAAAATAGATACAGCACTATTTATCTCTTCTTGGTTGAATTTTGGTGATTCATGCCTTTCAAGGAATTGGCCCATTTCATCAAGCTTGTTGAATTTATGGAAATGATTCTCTTATTACACTTTTAATGTCTGTAGTGATCCCCCCTTTCACATTCCTGATATTGGTCATTTGTGTTTTCTTTTTTCCTTTGTGTATTAGTTTTGTGTTGCAGTGTAACAAACGAATTTGTGGCTTAAAACAATACCCATTTATTTGCTCACAATTCTGTAGGTTAGAAGGTGGACACAACTTATCTGAGTTCTCCACTTAGGGTGTCGCAAGGCTGAAATCAAGGTGTCAGGCAGGCTGAGTTCCCATCTGAAGGCTGGGGATGAATCCACTCTCCAGATCATTCTTATTGTTGGCAGAATTCAGTTCCTGGAAGCTGCAGGACTAAGGTGTCTGTTTTCTTGCTCTCGGCTACGGGAGGCCGTTCCTCAACACATGGCCCCTGATCTTTGAGAAGTGACAGGGTGTCAGTGCTTCTCACACTTCAAATCTTTCTGACCTTTTCTGTGACTTCCTTTCTCCTCTGCTACCAGCTGGAGAAATGTCTTTGTTTTTAAAGGGCTCGTGTCATTAAATTAAACCCACCTGGATAATCTGCATTTCTTAAAATCAACTGTGCCATATAGCATAACCTAATCATGGGAGTGAAATCCATTATATTCACTGCCCTGGGGATTGGAGTGTAAGTCTTGGGGCCACCATAGAATTCTCGTGAGTACGAAAGTTAGTCAATAATAACATCTTCTCAAAGAATCAGCTTTTGGTGTCATTCTTTATTTTTGTGCTTGAATTGGACACCATTTCACATATAGAAGCTATTTCATTTAAAGCCTGTAAGTAAAGTTTGCTTCTTCAACATTTTTGTCTGCATCAAATTTTATTAATCATAGCTCAGCCATTATATGTTTTTAAAATGTTACTACCACTATTTTTTCTCAGATCAAATTTATGCTTTTACATTTTGTCAAGAGAATTTTTCCCTTTCCATTTTTACCCAGTAATACATACTACTACATGTGGTTTTCACCATTGTCGCTTTATGTTGCTTTTATTATTTCTAGCAGAAATATTCTTTAAGATTTTTAAATCACTAGTAGCTTATGTTTTTTCTTTTACAAATAACAGCATTATTTTTTCATATAGTAAACTATGAAAAAAAGTATTTCTATTGTCTATAATCTAATTACTCAGATTTAAAAATATATAAATAATATAAAATACAAAAATACAATAAATAGAGCACTCACATGATTGGAACATTTAAACAATATAGGAAAGGTAAAATGATCCCTAGGATTTGCTTGAAAATGCTAAAAAAAAAAACCGCAAAGAAAGCAAGCAGAGAGGAGGGACCAGCTGAGCCTAGACTGGTGTAATGCAGGTAACTGCTGAGGCTGAGCGATTGGGCCTTGGGGGCTCACTCTCCTAATCTGACAACTGTTAGTATGTTTCAAACATTTCCATGATAGAAAATTTTCTAAAGAAAGAAAGCATGCACATTGTCTTTCACACTTACTTAGGTCTTGAGAATGTGGGGAGTGACGTGGCTTAATGACAGAAAGGAAGTAACACACGGACACGGGCATCTAGGGACCGAGCGCAACCATGGAGTGTACACACTGCTAAACTGTGAAGTGCACTGTGGAATCAGACCTGTCACAAGTGAAAGCGATGGGAATGGAGGATCCCGCTTGGTCAGGCGGCCATGATGTGTAGGAAATGATTGGAAAAACAAGGCATGTTCTAAGGGGGGGGAGATTTGAGGGCACCTGACTGTTGTCCAACGCTGCAGGGCTAGCACAGGGAGGAGCTGACGGCCCAGGCAGGCTGAAGCAAGGCAGGTCGGGGCCCAGAGGAAGGGCGTCCTCCTGCTGAGAGCTGCTTCCCTCTGTGGGGCAACCTAACCGGGTGCTTCAGGCAGAATCCAGCTGGTCACACCCTAGAGAAGCTGTGAAAGGGCTTCTTCTCTGACCATGGATCTGGAGCTTGAGTGAGGAGACCTCCAAGGTGCCCTGCAACTCCAAGACTTTACACTTCCCCTCTCATCTCAATAATCTATTTTGACTTTTGACTCAAAGGGAAAGCATGTACTGTTTCCCTTGGCTAGAGCTGTTCTCTTAGCTTCATCATTAATGGTCATTTATTAAGTGTCATTGTAGGTAGTACTGTAATATGTGCTATTCAAAGGGGAAATTGTGTATTAGAGGTCTCTTAGTTGGATTAGAAATTATCCAGGTAAATTTTACATATGGAATGTGCTCAATTAAATGATTGGTGAATAAAGAACGACTGAATGAATGATCAATGAACAAGTAAACAGTATTAAACAACAAGAAGTCTGTTTACTAATGGTCCTCAGTTGAAATGGATGAACCATTGTTTCTCACATTTAATCAGAGAAAGTCTGCAAGAAGAGCTGGGCCCCCGGTGGAGTAAAGAGCAAGAACTTGACAAAAGAAAAATTCTTTGGGTTGGGATTTAGTAAGAGAAAAAAAGTCCATTTTCAAGTTGTACATGGGCTGCCCAGAGAGGCATTCTGTTACAAAAGTAATTGCAGATGCCCTAAATAAATCTGCTAGCCAATAACAAATCATTAATTACCGATCTTGTCATTATGAATCTTGGAGCTACTGGGCTGTTACCGAAAGTGGGAAGCAACCAGGACAGAAAGTGTTCCTGTATTTTAGCATTTATAGTGGTTTTGTCTTTCAGCATCGGTAATGCAGGCAGGTCATCTGGCCAGGCTGCAGAAGCTCGACCTGAGCTACAACGACAGCGTGTGTGATGCAGGATGGGCTGTCTTCTGCCAAAACGTGTGGCTCCTCAAAGGATTAACCGAGCTGGACATCAGCCTTCGGCCATCAACTTTTCGAGATTGCGGAAAATGGTTTAGGCACTTGTTATGCGCCGTGACCAGACTTCCGGAGATCACTGAAATAGGAATGAAAAGGTGGGTCCTCCCACCTTCCCTGGAGGAAGAACTGGGACGCTTTGACCAAGATCACAGGAGCAGCATTCGCTTTGACCACGGTGGATGTCAGTAAGCTGGTTTCCCAAGGTCATGTATATGATTGTTTATGCAATATTTTTGAAATAACAAAATTACAGAGCCCTGGCTGGTGTAGCTCAGTGGATTGAGCGCGGGCCTGTGAACAAAACAACCATGGTTCGATTCCCAGTCAGGGCACATGCCTGGGTTGCAGGCCAGTTCCAGCAGGGGACACCTGGGAGGCAACCACACATTGATATTTCTCTCCCTCTCTCCTTCCCTTCCCCTCTAAAGATAAATAAATAAAATATTTTTTAAAAAGAAATCACAAAATTACAGAGATAGAGAATGGCTTAAGGATTAAGAGAGGAGTAGGTGGTAGATGTACCTGAAAAAAACAAACCCACCCAAACCACAGTGAAGACCTGTGGTGATAGCACCATTCTGCATCCTGACTGCGGTGGTGTCTACATGAAGCTGCGTGCGACACCACTGCCCTGACCTACGTGCACAGGTAAGTGCATGTGTGTATAACTGGAGAAGTCTGAGTAAGTTCTCCTGTGGGCACCATGCAGCCTTTCTGATCTTACTCCTGTGTTATGGTTATGCGAGGTGTCAGCACTGAGGCGGGGTAAAGGGCACATGAGCCTCTCTGTGTGTCTCTTCGGAATTTCCCATGAATATATAATTATTTCAAAGTTAAAAGTTTTTTAAAAGTAGAGCACTTAACAAACCTCCACGTACAGGTGCATCTACAATGATCTGTTTATGGCCAATCTTGTTTTATTGGGATCTCCCCCTTTTACTTCTCCCTGATATTATCAGGAAGCAATTCCCAGGGTTCACACCATTTTATCACAAATATTTCAGTAAAAATAAGGTTCTTTTCTTTTATACATGGCCATAAGTCTATGAATAATTTTAGCGTGGTAGGCATCCACCTCCTATATATTTTGCCTCCTTAACCCATGAGGGTTCATTACCTCGACATTAATACACAAAGTTATTTCTTCTTTTCCTTTACAGGTTTTCCTTTTTCGACCTTCTTTCCTTTCTTATCTTTTGGAGAATTCTTTCCTTTCTTTCGTAATTTTGACAGTTCTTCAAATTTCCCCAATCCTTTCCGTACCATCATTCCACGCCACCATGCCTGAATCTGAAAACAAGATAAACCCAAACAGCATCAGCCGGTATCACTACAAACTGAGGAAGGTTACATCTCTTCGTTCTGACATGTAGTCTTAAAGATGTGGAAATGGAATGTGACTAGAACTCTAAACCTTATTTTCTTTCTTTCTCAATTGACCAGTCATCCATGAATTTAAAAAAAGGTTCTTAGTGCTTTTAGGCACTAAGCACTGTTCTAAACCTTGGGCAAACAGCAGTTAAATACCAATGTCGTCAACTCTGTGGAGCTCACATTCCAGGGAGGGGAAGAGACAATAAACTATAAACACATGAATGTGTTCAGTGCCCTGGAGAAGACAGTGCAAGGAAGGGGAATCAGGGGTGCCTCTACCCTGCCTTCATCTTCTGACTAGACTTCCTGTGGCCCTACCCATTACAGCCAGCCCCCCCCAACCCCCTCACTTGATCCTATTTCCTCCCCCCTACTCAGGAACATCCCTCATCTAGTAGTAAATCTCTTTGAGCCTTTAGCACCCAGAACTACAAGAAAATTAATTTCTGTTGTTTAAGCCACTCAGTCTATGGTCTGTTGTTATGATAGCCTGCACTAACTAAGGCAGTTATTTTTCCAATGAGGCCTACCTTGACTATTCATTTCAATTAAAATTCTACGCCCTGGCTGCTGTGGCTCAGTGGGCTGGGTGCCTGCCTGTGTGAACCAAGATGTTGCTATTTCAATTTTCAGTCAGGGCACATGCTTGGGTTGTGGGCCAGGTCCCCAGTTGGGGGCCTGTGAGAGGCAACTGATCAATGTTTCTCTCACACATCCATGTTTCTCTGCCTCTCTTTCTCCCCACCTTTTTCTCTCTCTAAAAATAAATAAATAAAATCTTTAAAACAATCAATTAAAATCCCACAACACATACCCACACAACATCTGGCAATCTCAGCTCCCCTCAGCTTGAACTTTTTTTCAATACAACTTCACACTTTCTAACATAGTATATAATTTAATGTTTTATATTTCATGTTTTTATTCTCATCACACTAGGCTTCGAGCAATATGAGGACAGCAATATTTGTGTTTGTTCCATGATGTATTTTCAGTGCCTAGAACAGTGCCTGGCACATAGAGGAAACTCAACAAATATTTGTTGAATGAATGAATGAATGAATACAGTGGGGTATGCTATTTTATATAAGGTGGATTAAGGGCAGGTATGAAGATATGTGAGCAGAGACTCAACTAAATGTGGGCATAGTATTGTCCGAATCAGTGGGAAGTGTCTGCAGGCAGGAGGATCCTGAGATGAGACCCTGAGGCAGGAGCATGCTTGGGTGTTGGAAACCGCCAAGGACCCTGTCTGTGACTCAAGTAAAGCGAAAATGGGACAGATGAGATGGGGAGTGAAAGCTGCAGATCAATCAGGGTGGTGATTGTTCAAGGGAACAGTACTGCCCTCTAGAGGCATTCTGAAAATGTACAGGGCTTTTGGTTGGAAGGTTTAGTGGTCTTCAATTGTGTGGCTTGTACCCTGGTCCACCAAGACTTTCAAGGGTGTACATGTGGGCTCGCATCTTCTGGAGGCAATCCGTTCCCAAACATCAGCTTCCATATGCGCCCTTTCCTAAAAGGTACCTGCCTAGGAAGACAACCGTTAACTCTCCATCCCCACCTCCCTGTTCACAGCTGTCCCTCTGGCACACCTCTCACCCACCTGCATCTGACTAGGGGGTGTTGCCCTGCACTCCCAAAAGAGGGACAATTAAAAATAGTGTTATTGATGTTGGTCCTAAGAGCAGGATAACCAATCCCTTTGCCTTCCAACTCTTTGCCTTCAAGAAAATTGAAGGTAGACCCACTGATTTGTCTGCTAAGAGCCTGTTATCTGATTTGGGGGAGCACAAATCTGGGAAAAGTCCAGGATATGTGTAATGCATTGTCATTTAAAACAAAATGTAGGCAAAAAAACCTTCTTCCATTCTTGTCAACTTATTTATGTGAACAAGGTTTCTCAGCACTTCATCTATAAAATGAAAAACAGGTATAGAAGTGATGCCAAGCCCTGTCTCATTCTAGCAAAAGTGATCCTTATGCATCCTTATGTGAGGATGTGTAAACTATGTGAGAAAGTTTCTCTCATTTGTATCTGCACTTCACAAAAATCCTGTAAGTCAAATAATTAAACATCAAAATATGTAAGAGATGTTATATTGTTTTGGTCAATTTTATACTACTAATAATTATAATATGAGTAATAAAATGGAATAATCCAGAACGCTAAAAATACTATTGTCACACAAAAAATTTAATCTTAAAATTTAATTTACATAAAATATTTTTTTTTGCCTAGAAGTTTGAAAGGTGATATATAAGTGACTTAAAATAATATGACTAATAAAATGTATATTTTATTTTAAGGTAAACTGTAAGACAAACACACACACACGTGCAACATTATAATCAATTCTCAGGGGAAAATGGAATGAAAATACATGTTCAAGAAGAAAAGAATATGATAAAATTTCTGAGCTTGTTCAAGTATTTTGTAAATTGATGTTGACTGACATATCAAATCAAAACAACATTTATATTCCATTGGATACACTCAAAATATTGATTTAAGAGCTCTGTTTGAAAACACCAATATTTAAAACTCACTGGAAAGTATATCTTTTGCAATATTTTAAACCCAGTGGCAAAAAAATTTAAATACCAAATTTAAAATGTACAAGATGGTATATGGCTTTTCAGAAATGCTTTTAGAGAAAAGGGTGTTATTTTTATTTTTCCAGTGTAGTCATTCCTGAGTGTGTGTGTATATATATTTAAAATAAATATTTTCATAAAATTTTTAATATAAATTACTTTTCTTTTTCCTTTATGTTGTAGCTTAGGCATTACTTTGATTTATTAAAATCATGTGTTTTTGGTAGGTTATATCACCTGAGTTTAGTTTCAGGAAAAATGGAACATGGTCAACTTTAGTAGAAGGAGGCGGATCCACCTGTGTCATGGCAGCATCGGTCTGCTGCTGAGTGGAAGGCGTGTTTCAAGGGAGCAGGTGTGGACATGGGGACGTGAGAAGAAGAGGGCTTGGATCAGCTGAACAGAGAATCCTGACTGTTGACAGAAGTGGACACAGTCCTGGTCTGTCTGAGGTGCCCTGTGTCTCCAGGGTTTGGTGGGCAAGAAGGAGGGAGACAGGGCTCTTAGCTCTTTGATCCTAGTTAGTGGCAGAGCTGGACTCTGGTCTCAAGACCTGAGTTCCAGGATGCTTTCATTTCTGATTTTTCAGATGTATCTGACTGACTTTGGTAATACTAGCTGTTCACTCCAGTGAATAGCCTAAGGATTTTAGGTCATTTTAGGATTTGGAATTTCCGTTCTTTGGCCTGACTGTTGGCTTCTTATCTGATAAGGACACAAGGAACATGAAAGAAAAAAATGCTAGGATGATGTTCAAAATTCCCTTGCTCAGCCCTGGGTAAGGAAATGAGTCTCTACCCTTGCGGACAAGGTATAGATGTGCCAAGAGCAGCCTCATTGGATGATCTGTAATGCGTGTAACAGGAACCCCTCTCCAAAGCAACTATGAATATATTATCTGGAAGTTTTGCTGATTTTACCTTTGTTGCTAGTATTTTCATATTTCTTTTCTCCTTAAGGTATGTGAATATAGCCTCTCTGCCTTCAGTGCATACTCCTACTGGGGGTTCTTCCATGGGATTGCCCATCAGTGTCAAAGCCTTGAGATTCACAAGACAGTCTAAATCATCCGGAAGTTGGGTGAGCAAGTTGTCCTCCAGCAGTAATTCTTTCAAAGCTGAAACAATTTGTTTAAATGATGGATTTGTGTTAAAAAAAAAAAAAGAGGCAAGATTAAAGCACGAATTCTTTAGTCCAGTCACTTAGAAATGGTTGTTCCCTATTGTGCCACATCACAAGAGACATCAGATTTCATGAGGCAAACCCAAGTTCTCTTCTTCAAAACAAGTCCAAGTTGTTGGAGCTAGTGTAATCAAGAGAGAGATATTGGAACATAGGAAACACCAAAATATTTTGAGAACACTTCATTCCTCCAGGGACGAAGGACCGGATAAAAGTGTATGGTCAGGAGCATTACTAAGGAGTACTGCATACCCACTCCTGGCCCCTAATCTTTCAATATCTTGTGGTAGCAGCTTACACTCATATTTCTTCACCCTCCTTTCATTAAAGAAGAACAGTCACCCTGGCTGGGGCCTGTGAACCACACGATTGTGGTTCAATTCCCAGTCAGGGCACATGCCTGGGTTGTGGGCCAGTTCCCAGCAGGGGACTCACGAGAGGCAACCATACATTGATGTTTCTCTCCTTCTCTCCTTCCCTTCCTCTCTAAAGATAAATAAATAAAATCTTTTTTAAAAAAGAATAGTCATAGTTCGGAAACACATCTATAAACCTGAAGATTCAGCACACTGAGGAGAAAATTTTTTAAAAATCTGGCCCCAGTAGGAGCTCAGCAAAAGCTTATTAAATAAATGAACGGATTAATGGATATACACATCATGGGTTAGCCCAGTGGAAAATGTTTGAGTGTTTAAATGTGAGTCGTATATGACTTTTTGTATCAATCATGTAGCTCCAAAAGCTCCACCCCTTGCTGATATCACAACTCTTATTCAATAGTTTTCCTTTTCTTCAAGCGACTGAACGGCCTGATGTGAAGTTAGTATAGCGCCGAAACTCCCAATTCTGGCATGGGGTAGATGCTCAGTAAATTATTCTCGGTGGTATAATGACCACATGGGTGAATGCTAACTTTCTTAGTAGTTGCTATGTAATTTTCAATTCCCAGTGAATAATCTGCCTTTGTGAGGTTCTTCGCTGTACTAGTCAGGCCCCTGACCTTGCCCACATCACAAGTGAGCCCTGCAAGAACGTCCAACCTCTCTAACCACTAAAACAAAGAAGCCTTCATCATGGAAAATGCTGGCCTCAAACTCTGCTAGGCTGTGGACCTACTAAGATTCTTCACCTTGTGCTTGGCAGATGGAATCTGGAAGTTGCTTAAGCAGATTGTGGCGGCAATCAAGAATTTCTAGGGTAGGCATTGACCCCAGGGCTACTGGCAAGTACTCCAGATGGTTGTTCTCAATATACAGCTCTTTGAGATTCTGAAATAATATGACAGTATATACTGTAATAATCCTTACACTGAAAAATGACATCATAACTAGAATCACCTGTGAGTTCCTAAGGTCTTTCGATGAGGGTTATTATGCGTTATAATAAAGGAAAAAAAAACATGTAAAGAACCATCATCAAAAAATAAAGTTATTTTTGAGTTAAGCCATTAGGTGTGGTTCCCATTTATGTAGGGAAAAGAGAACATGGGAATCTATTGTTTATTTGTTTCATGAGAACTTAATGGAAAAATAATTTGGATTATTTAACTACATACATCATTTGATCCCTTTCAATAGCTAATTATCTCAGATGATAATTAGCCTGAGAAGTGTCATTTGCTCAACTATCAATCCAACATTGCCCAAGTGGAAGCAGCCAAATATACAGATAATAAATTAACTGCTTTCAAATTTACTGGGCAAAAATTTGTTTATATTTCACCCTAAGATTTTGCACAGTGTGGCATGACATATACAAGGAGCAAGTTGATTAACAGAGTTCTATGAACACAGAGCAGAGGAATGGAGAATTAGAAATAGGAACCCTGTGTCGCAGGTGGGAAATATCTGAGTCATACATACCGTTGCTCAGTTTAATGACCGGGGATAATGTGCAGCTCACACTTACTGTATCAGTATTAAGAGTGTGGTACCAGGAGCATGAAAAAAAATAACAAGTCTTTAAAGTATGCATATAGATAAAGACAAACTGGTATGGCTACTTTGAATGAAGTTATCTTGTTGCTTTGCTAGGATCTGGCACTGTGCGGTGGACCCATCTTCAGGGAATCTGTTGCAACAGTGAAATAGACTATGACTGGCCTTCTACCATGTAGAGTGGCAGGTCTTATTGCCCCATCCAAAATGCAGGCTCCCAGTCATGTGACCTGTATGATACTTTAATTTCAAAATAATACAACTTTCGGGGGCAACTTATAAAAAAGTGGAAACTGAGTGAAAAGCAGAATCATTCAATTTATGCAAATAAAACATGACAAACCACACAGTGGAAAGAAATACGGCATAATATACCCAAGAGCAATCACAACAAAATGTTCTTAGGGTATAAATCTGGGGGTTGTTCAGGAAGACAATGGAAGCTTCAAAGTATGGTAACAACTGCCTGTTTGAAGCTGGAAATCCACTACGGTTGATTCCAGACACAGCCTGTGGGGATACCACCATATTTTCTCAGTATCAGCCAACTTAAGGGATCAGTAGGCATGTAGTTCTTTAACTGCTACTTTGGGGATGCTTACCTGTAGTGCCCTGATTTTATCTGGCACATAGGTGAGCTTGGCTCCCTGATCTTGCCCAATGTGTAATTTCTCTAAAGACTCTAAAGAAAAGAGTTCTTCTGGAAATGTAAGGAACTGATTCCCAGTTAACCCAAGCGTCTTCAGTTTTGAGAGTGAGCCAAAGCCTGAAGGCAGCTAGAAGTATTAAGAGAAGATAAGTTTCAGGTCAAGACTATTTTTAACAGTAAGAAAATAAATTGGGCTTTTAGTTTTGAGGCAAATTTTTTAAACAAAAAAAAATAGAGCAATTTAGCAATTCCTACATATAACAAGTTTGCACATGTCTGCATAGATAGTATTTATACTTGTAGATTGGAAGTCTGGAGTTCTACTTTCCCCCTGAGCATCTCTGCTCTTCACTTATATGCACTGCTTTAAATTGGGGCAAATTTTAGCTTTTGTTGCAAATTTTTGAACTGTAGTGTAGCAAATGCTTGACATTATTGAAGAAAAGGACTAAAGTTATCAGTGTAATATTGCAATTATAGTAGTCACGATTAAGTTATTAGAACTGACAAGTTTAGTGACATGATCTCTCACACTAAAAGCCTTTAACTCAGCATTTTTTACAAGTTCTATGATCTTTTATCAGGAAATGGAGTGTCTGAACACTGCTGCCATGTATAGATTGTGCACTGCACAAGTCCAGGTGCAGAATGGCACGGTGGCATTCAGCAGCCTTGTAGCTGCAACTGCACTTATGTGTTTTCTACATTCAACATTACTATGTATTAGTTTCAGGTTTACAGCCTAGTGATTATACAGTCATATACTTTACAGAGTAGTCCCACCGATATTTCAAGTAAACACCTGTCATTGCATATAGTTATTATGATATTATTGAATATATTATGATATTATTGAATATATTTGATAGTCTATAGTTTACATCCTCATGACCATTCTATAGCTACCACTTTGTACTTCTTAATCCCTTTACCCTTTAATACAGTCCCCTAACCCTACTCCCCTCTGGCAATCACCAGTTTGATCTCTATATCTATGAGCCTATTTTAATTTTGCTTGTTCGTAAATTTTGCCCTTTAGATTCCACATATAAATGAAGTAAGATGGTATTTGTCTTTCTCTGTAGGACTTATTTCACTGAGCATCATACCTTGTAGGTCCATCCATGCTGTCACATGTAGCAAGATTTCACTCTTTTTTTTATGGCTGTAACTTAGCAACTTTGAAACTTCAGTTGAAGTCTCAGATGCAAACAATAAAGACTATTATTATATCTTGTCCTTTGTCTTCCCTCCAGGGAATACCGAGGCTTGTGTGCTCTGTGTGGGTTTTGGGTAAGCATCTCCCAGACTCCCAGACCTTCAGGGTCAGAAGGCCCTCTATTCTCACCTTCTAATATGGTGGTTGAATAAATTTCATAGCTAACCATACAGCCCACAGTTAAACACCATCTCCTGGAATGAAAAGCTCATTACCTTGGATGAAAACGCTCTAATCATCAGATTTTCTTCTTTTTTTCAAGCCAAAATCAGTGTCACTATTATGTCCAACTATAGGTGTTTCTGGCCCTCTGGAACCACATGGAAAAGTATCGTTTTTAAAATGTGTGACACACTCACCCTTTGGTTATGTTAGAAATGCTGATTTTCTTGTGGGAAAAACAAAAGCCTAGGTATACAAGGTCTGTCTAGTACAAGTCCAGCCATTGTTAATATAATGGAAATGGTTTGAGTCACATCGATGTAACCTGGCAGCCAAGGAAAGTGGACTGGAATGCACATGTGTGAACAAGGACTTCACTGTACTAGTCACAGGGAGCTGTAGAAGCCATTGAGTGAACATGTGGACTGTGTGGCCATCACATTCAAAATGACTGAGGGAGTAGAGCATCAAATTTTGCATTAAGTTTGACTATTCCTCTGTGGAAACTATTCAGGTGATTTAGAAGGCCGCAGCTATGGGCAACTGGTGATTGACAGCTTCATCATGACAACATCATGCATCATGTCTCCTGCAGAGTTTTTTGGTGAAACACCAAATCATCCAGGTGACTCAGCCTTCCTATAGCCCAGATTTGGTGCCCTGTGACTTCTGACTTTTCCCAAAATTAATGTCACCTTTGAAAGGGAAGAGATTTCAGACCATCTACGAGATTCAGGAAAATACGATGGGGCAGCTGATGGCGATTAGGAGAACTGTGGTCCCAAGGTGCTTACTTTGAAGGGGACTGAGGTGTCATTGTTCTATGTACAATGTTTCTTGTATCTTGCATCCTCTCCAATAAATGTCTCTATTTTTCATATTACATGGCTGGATACTTTCTGGATAGACTTCATATATCTCAGTGTAACAGTGGGGAATTGTAACTTACCCCACCATTCTTCTAACATTGTTTCTGTAAATGCTGACTCTGACTAATATGTAGCTTGTAGATGAACAGCGTGTTTGTATAAGAATCCTAGGAACTAACTTCAAAAGATAAAGACTCCTACCTTCAGGCATCCCAGCTCCAGATTTGCTGACCTCCATGTGTAAAACCAGGATGGCGCACACCAGACCATTGCTTGACCTGTGTCTAGGTCCTGATTAGAATGGACTGCACTGTTCTGCACGCACAGAACTTTTCAACCCCCTCCCTTGATCTCTCTGTCCTGCTTTCTCTCTCTCCTTATAAAAACCTCCACCTGCGCTGAGATGTTAAGATGGGCTTTGAGTCGAGAGTTCCCCATCCTCTCAGATTGCGGGCATCTGAACAAACCACTTTCCTTCTCACCAGCATGTCTCACGAGTTTGGCTTTCGTTGTGGCAGGCAGCTGGACCTGTGTTTGGTCGCGCGCGTGTGTGTGTATTTTTGTGTGAGTAGAGATTAATAAGCAGCATCATAGGATTCTGCAAATTGGATGTTTTACTTTTTAATCAACATTAGAATTTTGAGATTTATCCACACTGGCAACTATAGCTCCAGCTTACTTAAATTACTGTACAGTGTTGCATTTTATGAATACGTATACCACAATGTCCTTGTTCATTTCTCTAGTGACATTTAGATGGTCTCCCCTTACTTCATGATTATCAACAGTGCTGATGAACATTTCTGAACATGACAGCCTGCACTTACGGGAGCAAATGTCCCTGGGGCTAAAGATGTGCTTGCAGTTTCCCATTAATGGACCCTTCAGGTCTGAGGATTTCAAAGGAATTCCTGTTAGGAGGTGGTCTTTGTTAAGAATTTAGACCCTGGAGCCCAGAAGCTTTGGATGGAATCCTGCCTTTATCATTATAGGTGTGTGGCCTTGACAAGTTACTTAAGCTCCCTCTGCCTCATTTTCCTCCCATACCATTGAAGATAATATTATCCATGTCAAAAATCCTTTTGAAGATTAAATGAGATGATCCGCATAAAACACTTTGCCCAGTGATGGCCATACATATTATAAACATTAGCTACTATTTATAATTAATATTGTTATTGGGGAGAGTAGTGTAAATGACCACCTTGTTGGGCATATTTGTTAACCCGAGTTTTGGGGCATAAAGTCAGTTGGAATTTGTGTAGCCACAGAATCACTCCAACTGCGGGCAGGAAGGGCCCTTAAGGAGAGTATGGTGACACCAGGAAGGGAATCAGTACCTGCTGTATTTTATTATCATCCAGCGCCAGGACCTCCAGGTTCTTCAGGACACAGATGTGCAACGGGCAGCTTTCCAGATGGTTCTGACTGAGGTCCAGGAAGCGCAGGTTGACCAGCCGCCAGAAGGAGCGGCGCAGCGCCCGCAGGCCGGTGTTGCTCAGGTAGAGCAGGTGCAGCGAGGTCCACCTGCAGACGAGGCGCGGCACCTTCTCCAGAGGGTTCCCGCTCAGCCCCAGCTCCGTCATCTCGGAGAGCCCCTCCAGGGTGGGCGGGATGGAGTGCAGGCGGTTGTGGGACAGGTCCAGCACCGACAGCTGGCTGCACTGGCACAGAGACTCGGGCAGACAGTGTAGGTCGTTGCGGGCCACGTAGAGCTTCCGCAGCCTGGTCAGGTTCCCGATCTCTTCTGGAATGACCGTTAGTTTGTTCTCATCCAGGTCAATGACCTCCAGGTTGTAGAGGACGCAGAGCTCCGGCGGGAAAGCTTCCAGCTGGTTTCGCTCCAGGTAGATCTCCTTCAGTTTGGTCTGGTTCACGATTTCCACGGGCAGCGCTGCCAGCTGGTTTCCGGACAGTCCGAGCAGCTCGAGGTGGTGAAGGTGTTTGCAGAGTTCCACCGGCATCTTCCGCAGCTGGGTGCGGTAGAGGCGGAGCTCGCGCAGCCTGCGGAGGCCGCTGAGGACCAGAAGGGAGGAGGGGAGGAGGGGGTTGTCGCTCAGGTCCAGGCCCTCCAGGCTCCCCAGACTTGTCAACTGGGGACACAGCTTGCTCAGCTTGTTCTTGTTCAGGTAGAGGATTCTGACATTCTTTAAATACTGGATATCCTCAGGGATTTCTTCAATCTGGTTATTTTCCAGATGCACTTCTTCTAATTCTTTTAATTCTAAGATCTCCGATGGAATGGTAGTGAGGTTCTGATTAGAAGCATCCATGAAAAACGTTCTATCAGAGGTTTGCTGAGGGTCATATTTCTGATGTATCATAGAGGACTGTTCTACTGATTTCATAATGTTATTTGACATTATCTGGATGAAAAATTCAAATATTCAAAATCTGAAACAGCATGAAAAGAAAAAATCAGAGTTTCCCTGCCACCAGATTTGGTGTCCTTAAGAGAGACAAAATTAAAATTTAGTTGATTAAATTCAGTGCTTGACATTATGCACAACATAAAACGTAGGTTTTGTGCTCTGTGTTAGGAGAAGAATCAAAGTGTAGACTCCTTTTTCTCCTAACAGGTTGACTAACGTGGAAAAAAAAGAGTATCTAATTTCAATTTTTTTGAATGTCTGTCTTGGTTCTCTTTTCAGGTAGGAAGTACAAATTTGCAAAAGACACTGCAAAACACTAGGAAAAATCAATATTTTAATATACAATACTTTTTTCTTAAAACCACCAGAGAGTTGTAGATGCGAAGAAGGTCAAAAGAATTAAATCTGCAAGATGGACTAGTCCTTCCTAAATAAGTAGAGACCAGTAGGCACTTTCATGCCTGGAGGCATTTTCAGGTTTGGTGACTGGCAGGTAGAGAAGCAAGCCTTCCACTGACATAGGCAAAGGACCTTGAGGGACCGGGAGAAGCCAGCCAGACCTTTAACAGCCATGGTGGCTTAGAATCTGGAGGAGCCTCAAGTGCAGCGTCAGTTCTTCCCACCAGCCAGTCCTCCCCCGTCAGGCTGGAGCAACTCCGTGGCCCTAGGGTAGGTTGCAGGCTGGGCTAAGGAGCAGAGAGAGATCCTGTCCTCTCATGGTCTTACATTCCTAAGCCTTGCTGGGTGGAGGGGCTTACATCCTTAAGCAATACATTTGAAATTGCAGTGAATCGGAATGAACTAAATCTGCAACCTAGAAAGAAATTAAATGGACAGATAAATCACGTGCATGGATCAGAACCCTCAATAATGTTGAGAGGCCGATACTCTCCAAATTGCTCTGCTGTTTCAATGCGATGCCACTTGAAATCTCTGTGAGCTTTTTTTTCTTTTTTGGTAGAAGTTAATAAGCTGACTCTAAAATGCAAAAGATGTAAGACTGCAAAAGACAACCTTAAATAATAACTAAATTAGCAGACTTAAACTACTAGATTTATAAGTCCTATAAACCCAAGATGTTAATACTGTATTATGGAAGACTAGGTCCTTGATCATTCACACACACACACACACACACACACACAGCCTAAGGGAGAAAGCAGAGAAGACACAGTTGGTGGCCCGGTTAATTTTAGTAGCGACTTTGACTCGCTTCACAGGTGGGGGGTAGCGTGGAGTGGGGGGCTTTCCTGTGGAGTACAGGGCCTCTCCTCTAGCGCAGAGGCCCAGGCCCTGGATGGAGGGGGTGTGTTTCTAGCCCCACACTTACCACTGCAGCATGCAATATAAGAGTTTGCAGTTCAGATCCTTGTTACTGTATACCCACCCTCAAAAGGAGCTCTGGGGTGGTGATTCTCTCTGTTGTTTAAATAAAGAAAAAGATTTACTATTGATTAAATATACTAAAAATAGCTGTCTGCAGCCTTTTTATCACTTGGTCTTTGGGCAGATTAATACTGTTCACTCCTGTAAAATAACATCTCCAGGTTCCTCAATAGAAACTATTGAAATGCTGAAGGCTCCTGGATAGTCCACAGTATTCACACTTAAGTGAAAACATAAAAAATAATGAACACCCAGTATAACACATAGAAACTCTATTTCATTAACATGACCCTTTTTCTTTTCTGTCTGTCCACTCCCTTCCCTAGTGTGAAGCCCTTCCCTTAGGACATTGGATTCTGGGCAGCATCGAAGTGTCTTAAGAACAAGCCTCAGTCAGGTCTGTTGGCCACAGAAACACAGTTTCAGTCAAGCTAAAGGTAACATCTTGATTTCAGCTGTTTAGACGCAGCCCATGAAGGCAGGATGAGTCTAGGGACCACAGCCTCAGGAAGTCAGACAGAGAGCTGCCGAGGCTGACATCAGCTCCGCAGGCACTGACCATCTACTCCTTACGCTGCCCCAGCCGGTCCGTAGAGCTGTGACCCCCGCTCTGTTACCACCGTGGTTAATGATTTTCCTCCTATATTATTCATCTCCTGAAAGCCATCAGGCAGTTAGGTCTTTGAACATTAGCTTACATGCATCTTCAGGCTTGGCACCACTTCCTCAAATAACAAACCCATACTTTCCTGGCTGCAGACTTCTGTTTGTGTTTTATTGGGCTTTGATGCGAGCACGCAAATGGACCCCTTTAGTGCAGTAACGCCAGGACACTCATATGCTCCGGGCTTCACTTAAATTAACTTATTTAATCCTCACCAGAACCTAAGAAGAAGGCACCACTATGAGTCCTCTTTTAGAGATAAAGTGAATAAAAGGACCCTTCTCAGAACCTAGTAGGAAGCGGGAGCAGAAGCAGAGAATTTTGCTTAACTTCACACAGGTTTTTAGCATCATTTGTTCACAAGAAGCCTGGTTTTTATGAGAATAATTCTTCTTGGGTGCGAAATTTCAGGCTTGATTTTTTTTCTTTCTCAGCCTTCCAACGGTTATCTAGGGGGAATTTGCGGGGACTAGCCATTCCTGATTCTGGTTAACACAATACGGCTGGGCTTCCGGACACATAAAAGAACTTATTTCTCCTAACATTCATCTTGCTCCATGATGAAACCTGACTAGACTGTCAAAATGTCTGTGTATTTATATTATCTCACCTTAATCATATATATCTCCTTTGTGTCTGGAACCAATTTGGTGGCCCTCTGACAGATACATACACATAAAAACACACACACACATATATATTTCAGATATATATATCAGAAATGTTGTCTCCTTTCAGTTAATACCGAGCTGAAGTAAACTTCAGACATCAGTGGGAAACACTGTATAAACAAGCAACTTGAAGGCGTGCTTCTACCTGCACTGTGGCCAAATTATTGATCTGAAATAGCTTCCTAGGGCTTATTTCCTTTAAATAGACTCAATAGTTGCATCTTGTCTGTTTTTAAAAATGTTGCACCCTCAATTCCTCACCCTACCATGAAACTGTAGATCTAGTGACTCACTGACAGAGACTTTCCCCCGCTTTTTCTCCTGTTTTTAGAATTTGGTTTTTCAAAATGTTACTTGTATAATGGGCGGGAGAGTTTTGGGCACTATTTCACTATTAAACACTGACATACTTTTCTCATATCAGCAGAAAATTAGAATGTAAACTTTTAGTGAAACTCACGTTTTTATCCATGGGCCAAAAATTTTACTTTAAAAATTAACAAAGCACTCATTAACAAAGCACAAATGTTACTTTAAAAATTAACAAAGCACTCATTTTCCCAGCTGTGTGTTCCATACCTAAACCTTCATGTATGAGCAACACTAGAAGTCAGCACTTCAGATACTTGTCAGAATGTCAGTCAGGACTTTATTCTGTGCCAGCACTTGCTGGCACCTCAGTTCAGCCACACGGTAGTTGTGAAAAGTAGCTAATGGATGTTAAATATTTCTGTAGATATTTTGAGTTCTACCTCCATATTTTCAGGAAACAACTTACCTAGAAACTATTATCATAATTAAACACCATGCCATTGGCTTTCTAAATAGAGTTATAGTAAAAGAAAGAATAATTTGAGAAATATTTCTGGATCTTTGACAAAACTATAGTCAATGATATGTCTATTAAGTTGCTTATATAAAGATATACCTAGTAAATTTTCCTACTATATGGTGCCAGAGAAACATAAATGCTGCCATTCATTGAAGGAAGGGGACTATATACCTTCACGCTCTCTTTGGTTCTGACCTCTAGAAAGCAGATTCAAGTTAGACCTTTACTCTGGGTTCTTGACACAAAAAAGCACCCAGTAGATCCACTTGTTTCCTTAAACTCAGCTCAGCAGCATCTCTCTCCCTGACCTTCCCTCCCCTTCCGTGATTCTGCGGGGGAGGGTTTCCCCCCAACTACATCCATCCTCCACCTGGAAATCATTGGGGGTAACATAAAATGTACTGATGGAAATGAGTTGTGCATGTGATCAGTATCTTTTTGACCATCTGTTTAATATGCATTTCGACATTGCAGGCTGTGTTTTTGTGTAAATACTGTTTCTGTTTGGCTACGGCAGCTAGAGAGAGTAGTGCCGTTTGTCTGGTTAAAGCAGTGCTTTTCTGTTTATTCTGTTCTAATTCTATTTATTAGTCTCTCTATGAAACAAAAGTCTGATTCTGTACTTCTTGCTCCTTTGGAAGACTATCCCTCTCTCCCTCCGGAGCAGCAATTAATTAATCCTCAACTTCTATTTACTTTTCCCTATCTTCTTAGCTCAAAACACTTTAAGGGAGGCATAGGGAAGGGAGATGCTGAACTGAACCTGCACTCACGCTTTAGTATTTCAAACCACCTCTCAGTTTTGCTGGAAGCACATAGGGTAAATGAGCACATAATTGTGTTTTCTATCATCATCATGTTTAACCTGAAGAAATATTTCAAGTGATGTTTAAAATCTGTGGATGACACAGGGTTTTAAGAGATACCTGCCTTGCTCAGCATGACAATTTCTTAGCAGTGGAGTGCTGGTCTGGGCTTGCCTAGTGGGCTAGCACCAGGGAAAGAGAATTCAGACTCATTTTTTTCACTTTTGAACTGTGTTCATACACAGCCAGTTTTCACTTGGAGGGCCTCTGTCTGGCTCCACAGTCCTCTGCAGGGCCCTGAACTTCCTTCTCTTGGGTCCATAGCAACCCCAAACAGAAGGCCTCTCCCTCCCTCCTTCCTCTTCTCCTTTGCATGTCCAACTACCAAAATCCTGATCTTGTTACCCTGCAACTATCTCTGGGTTTTGTCCCTTTCTCCTCATCCCCCCAAGTTCGGTCATAGCTGAGGCCTTATTTCTTCTGGGCTACTGCAGCTGCTTTAGACCTCATCACTCTAAAGACCTGTCAAATTCATTTTCCAACAGTTGTTCCAGATCTGGGGGCTCCCAGCGCCCTGCTCTGTTAAGAGTTAGGCACAGGGCTGCCTGCGGATCTGGCCCTGCCTGTTCCCCCCACTCTCTGTACTCATCTGGGCGGCCCCAAGCAGCTGCACGTCCCCAGCACATCTCAAGCACGCACCAAGCAGTTCCGCTTCTGGCAGATTCGCTCCACCAGTCAGGATGTTACCCTCTCCAAGAAGCCCTTCCTGATGCTCCCAAACCCTCTACAAGACTGATCTACATGTCCCTTTTATGCTCCCTTAGCTCCGCGTCCTGCCCTGCCCGTCCTGGCCTCCGCAAGTGTGTGTACACTTTGAGGAGGGGACTGTGTCATAATCATCTTTGTAATCCCCGCCCAGCCCAACGGCAGTGCCCCCTAAACCTGGAAAACCTCTCCCCGCAAAGTTGCCGGAAGCCCATCATCGGTGTGTCTTTAACCCCTGGGGGTAGAGACGGTGATCTGGACAGAGCGAGGTGACCAAGGAGCCTCCTCAGCATGGGCAGTCACTGCCTGCCTAGTCAGGCCGCATGGTTCTAGTGCCTACTGGCAGGGGAACCCAGCCAGCTCGACCCGGCGCGCTGCTCGGGGTCGCGCGGCTTGTCCGAGCACCGCCCCACGCACCCCGCTGCGCCGCAAAGCACGCCGGGGCCGGGCGCAGGCGCGCGCGGTCGTCAAGACAACGCTGCCGCCGCCACCTGCCGGGTGGGAGGAGAATGTGGCACAACAAGGAGAAGACCACCGAGGCCAGGACCCCATTACCCCCTCAGGCCCCCATGACGAGCCGTACTCCTACTCCGGCTAGAGCCGAGGCGGTCGGCAGCGGTAAGAAATAGGTATCCTTCATCACGGGGAACGCGCAAGGGGCGGGGCAGCTTGAACTGCGGGGTTGCACCTGCCCAGTACTGAGCCCGCCGCGGCCCGGGGCTGCTTGGTGGGAGGGGGCTTCGGAAACCCCGACTGCGGCGGGAACTTGGGGGATCCTCCAAACGCGGATGGGGGGGGCCTCAGGCCCCCACGGCGGGTCTGCCCTTCGCGCCATAGATTGTCCTAAAGGAAGGTGTATTGTCAGTCTGTCGCTTTGCTCTTAATCTCTGGGCGGGAGGTGGCGGGGGTGATGACTAGGTGCTCTTCTCGGGCCCCTTGTTTGTGGAAGCGCCAGAGAGCAAGGCCCAGGTGGATGAGAGACTCTTGAGACCGTTCTGATGTTGCACCTGTATGCCACCTACGTTTTGAATATTTATGCGTCCATGAATCATTTTTAGCAGAGTAAGCACGCTCCCTCCCTCTCAAAGTTTACATTTTGGATGCTTGTTTTAAAACCTGTGCTTGTTCGTTTGGAACTGTGCTGGAAGTCTTAACATGAGACAGGCATTGTTATGCTCTGACTTGAGCATAAAATGGAAATTTAAGGTCTAGAATTTAAGTAACTTGTTAAAACTAGGTCGGCATCTAAGTCTGACTGCCCTTGGCCCTTGAGTTTCCCAGTGCTTGGCTGTTCAGAATAGGAGGGCCGGAACCACCTCCAAACGAGGTCTTTCTCTAGAAATTCTAAAATGTGCTGCTAAGTGAAAATTGTTTGGAATTCAATGCTTAGGCGAGGATGAAAAGTGAAATTTAGGTTAGATTCCTGACATTTTCCTGCGTAGCTGGTTATTCCTAGTTTTTGCTTTACAGTTTGAGGACTGATTTATTATTTTTCTTGTACAGTATAGGAAATAAATTATTAGTGCCATAAAATCCTGATTTATTATTTTTCTTGTACAGTATAGGAAATAAATTATTAGTGCCATAAAACACCACAAAGGGGAATTTTAAATGAAAGATAGTAGCAAAAATATATAACAGATGTTTAAATGCTTTAAATCCATGGCCAGTTAATTAAATAAATGTATTTGTTATTTTAGATTCCTTTATTCACACACACACACACACACACACACACAAACCAAATGAGTTTAAGTCTGACACATTTCTTCATGACCTGGGTGTGGTACAGCTAGCTGAGGGCAGGCATGACCCTCAGGGCAATCCTCTCCAACTACTAAGAAAGCAGTAGCCACAAGGGAGGAAAGAAGCCCAGTGGGAGCTCAGCGCCAACATGCAAATCTGTTTGAGATCTCCTTGCTTTGTTTCCTGTCCAGGATATGAATAACATTTTCTAGTTGCATGTGAACAGTGGTCACGTGTGTCCAGGCAATGGAACATTTTTATCCTTCCCTCCAGGCTCAACAACTTGGAGAATCTTCGTGTACCGGAGTGTTTTAAATGTCCTGAGAAGTGTAGGTTAGGTTCTGTTTGGCTTTCTCTAATTCAGCACTTTTCAAACTTATTTGACCATAAAACCCATTGTAATTAGAATGTCTTGATTAATCATCAATGTCTTGAATAATCATTCTGCAGAACATAGTTTAGGAAATACTGTTCTCAAATACAATTTAAATAAAGGAAAATTTCTTAAAATAGGTGAAGGATTTCTTATGTACATCCATCCACAAGACAGAGATTATGCTGACATTAAACATTTTTGGAGAATGTCTAATAACGAAGGAAAGCCATTCACAATATGTTAATTGAAAACAAAAGGATATAGAACTATACTTAAATGTTCCAATTTTGTTTAAAAATACAAGTAAAAAAGCTCTGGCTGGTGTATCTTAGCGGATTGAGCATGGGCCTGTGACCCAAAGGGTTGCTGGTTCGATTCCCAGTCAGGGCACATGCCTGGGTGGCAGGCCAGGTCCCCAGTTTGGGGGGTGCATGAGAGGCAACCACACACTGGTGTTTCTCTCCCTCTCTTTCTCCTTTCCTTCCCCTCTCTCTAGATGCTTTTAAAGTAATATCCAAAACACTAAGACCATATGGGAAGGTGTAGGCATAACAGAGGAATATCTCAACTACTGCTTTGTTTCTGTCTTTATTAAGGACTGAGCAGGGTGGGGGTGGGGGGAATCACCTATAGAAAGAAGAACTGAAAGACGGGGTAGGTGAAGAGCTTCTTTCTATGAGTCTGACCTCCATGTAGCATTCAGAACTGATAGAGCTTTGTTCAAAGACGCCATCAACTTGCATGTTGTGAGGGTATCCAGGAAGCCTAAGGGACTTGGTGATTTTTCAGATCCCTTTCGAATTTGGATCCTCTGATAAAACTGTCTATTTGAAGCCATCATAAGAAACCTGGAGTTACCTTAACCCAGTATGGCAGAGTGGAAAGCAGCTTTGGAGTCCGTTTGATTCTCTACTCTGCCCTTATTAACTGCATGACTTGGGACAAAATATTCCGTTCCTCTGATAGCATTTTCCTCAGCTATCGGCCCTGGTACCTGTGGAGGTTAGTTCTCTCCTTTCATGTCGCTGTCAAGTCAGCGTTTGCCCCCCTCCGGGGGCGTTTCTATGGCCCCGGTTTTCCAGACAGCATTTGTATTCTCTCCTATCCCTAACATCTATTTCTTTCCTTTTTCTGTGTTCTTAATTCTTTCTCCTTTTCTTCCCCACCCAAGTCTACACACATACATTCATATCTTTGAAAGAAGTGTAATTTTTTGGAGGGGGGCTCCTGGGATAATTTATAGATGATGAAGGGTAATAATAATGCATTTATTTTTCAAAAGCTCCAGAACCTGTTGGCAGTCTCCAGAACCATTATCATAATCTGTGTATGGAAAAGTTCCAGAAAATTAACCCTTTTCTATTGCATACACTCCAAGGAGTGGATGAAGAAATCAAAAAGGGGTAAGGAAAGCAAATACCTGATTATATCAATAATATTCCCTGATACTCATCTGTGTGAAAACCCTGGAATGCTGAGTGGACTCAAAGCCATTTGCACATGCCTGGTAAAATGGGCAGGCCTCTTGATTCAGAGGGGTAGTTGACTGACACTGTCCATGGGCCTCAGAGGTAGTGTGTGTAGTCTGCTGGGAACAGCACCAGACCAGCAGGCTCCGAATCTGGGTTCCAGATATACCCCTGACTCCTGCGAGCTTGGTTTGTTTATACAAATCATTGAAGTTCTTCAGTGTTGTCATAGATCAAGTGGGGAGACTTTTGTGTGTGTGAGAGAGAAATTATTGGGTTGGCCAAAAGGTCTATTTAGTTTTTTCTGTAAAATAAGAGATACATTTTTCATTTCTACCAAAAACTGTATTGATTTGGATATTTTCAGTATGTTGGCTGTCTCCCGCTATTGGCTTCTAGTGGGTAGAGACCAGTGGCGTTGCTAAATCTTCCAATGCTTGAAACAGCCCCACAGCAAAGAATTATTTGGCCAGAATGTCAGTAGTGCCAAGAAACTTCAAAAACCACTTTGACACATTCAATCAGTCACAGCACCTTCTCCACACACTGCACAATTTTTTTTTTGCATTTCAGTTGTGTTTTTACCTTTCTTGAAATAATAAAGCATAATAGCCAGAAATGTTGCATATTTTCTTCCATCCTCAATATTAAAATGCTGCACAAGAATTCACCAGTTTTGATAAGTTATTTTTAAAATGCACACTGATATGACAGCTGTCACAACCTAACAACATTGATTTGAATGAAGTTAAAGACAACTAAGCACTGCTAGAGCCATCGTATGGGGAAAAAACTAAATGGACTTTTTGGCCAACCCAGTAGGTTATATAGTATATATTAGAGTGTTGTGGAAAATTTAGTAGTCTTAGGTTACTTGGTGTAAATTTATATCGTGGTACATGTGTGGTTCTGATAAATACTGTTCATGATGTTACTATGTACATGTGAAGAAAAAATACTTTTATTTCTTTACTGAGTTTCTGATTTGTATTTTAACAGATTGACAGGAATCACATTAAACATTGCTGGTAACAGTCACTCAGTTCCAGTGGAAAGAGTCACAGGTGAACATTTTTGGATTCTTTCCAAAATTTTAGAGAAGAATCTTTCTATTAATGGTATGTCTCCTTAAAGATCATTACTCATGCATTTATTTTCCTGACTTTAAGTATTCATTATTAGGAATATCAGCTTCTGTTCATCTGTGTTCTTCAGGTTTGGATGTTAGATATAACCTCATAAGTGATGTTGGTGCATACTATGCTGCAAGACTGCTTCAGGTATTGTTTTACTACAAAACATTTTATGTCTTTTTCTTTCTTCCGGAGGCCAATTAAGAACCAGTCCTTTCTTTGGAATGTGCAGGGTTCGAGCACGCTAAGCATGCTAAATTAGCCCTTTATTGCAGAGTCACTTTGGAGACACTCAAACCGAAATGCTGCATATGGTTGCATTTTACCTAAAAAAGACAGTGGGATCCCCTAGTTAGAGAAGGTGCACTTGGAAAAAAAGGCCTGTTTCAGCCTCACATCAGCACATATGTGTGTGCCTCTATTCTTAGTTAAAATAAAAGACTTAAAGCAGCATATATAATTTTTTATTCTTCTTTTACATGGGCTTTTTAATTTTATGACTGCTTATCCCAACCTCATCTTCTAAAAGTGCTTTTAATGAATTTAAAATGGCACACAATGTAAGGGCAGAGTGAAAAAAGGTGAAGAGATGTTATTCTCAGCAATCACTTTCAAATCAAAGTGCTACAGAATCATCAAAATCTTAGTTCTGTTTACTGTGAAACTGCCAAGTGTAATAGCACACACAAAACACTAGTTTTGCAAAATGTCAGTTCCTGACTGCGGTATATTTACAATGCTTGGAATCTATTGGAAAACACATTGTGCATTTGGCCTCAGCAGAGCTGGTAACTGGAGCTCCTGAGTCATCCACAGACTTGTGCGTTACAGTTAAACACATGGCGCACATCCACAGTTTGAATCATTGGTCCGAGCTGAGGATAGTCTTTTTCTTTTACTTATGTTGCAATTATAATTGTGTTTAAATGAGAATACTGATCCTTCCCTTAATTGTAGTTTCTTTTGCTGGACTTTCAGATTTTCTGATTTCTAAATCTTTTCTTTGGAGGTAAACACTTTTACTTAAGTAAAGCAGCTTGTATATTATTGACTTCTAATAACACATGTGTAATGGCATCTTTTCTCTCCTTATTATAGAAACAACACAGTCTCATTTACTTAAACCTCATGTTTAACGATATTGGGCCCAAAGGTGGAGAACTGATTGCTAAAGCACTACATGTAAGTACTTAGGTGCCTCAGTCTAACACTGGGTGTGGGATTTTTAACTTCTCATGTCTTGGAACCAACAGAATCAAATATTAATGTGATTTACATTATTTTAATATTGCGGGAATGTATATTTTTTATTACACTTCAATTTACTAAAGTGTGAACATTATATGAGCACTTTTGAACTCATTTAAAAATAAGTAGCTTAAAATATAATTCACACACATAAAATTTACCCTTTTAAAGTGTTCAGTTTTTTTCAGTCACAGAGTGGTGCCACGGTCACAGAGTGCTGCCACGGTCACCACTGTGGCCACTTTCAGAACACGGTCGTCCCAAGAAGCCCTGTTCCCAGTAGCCGCCCGTGTCCATCCCTCTCTCCCTACCCACCAGCCCCCGACCTGCTTGCCCTCTGCAGATTGCCTGTTCTGGACGGTTTATATAAATGGAATCACACAATACGTGGCCTTTTGTGATTGGCATGGTGTTTTCAAGGTTTATTATTTTTATTGCCAAGTGATATTCCATCGTATGGTTATATCACATTTTGTTCATCTGCCTGCTGATGGACATCCGGGTTTCCATTTTTGTCTCTAATGAATAATGTTACTATGGATGTTTGTGCACATTTTGTGTGCACTCATTTTTATTTTTTGTGGATATTTACCTACGATTGGAATTGCTGGACCATTTAATATTTTGAGGAACTGTCAGACTCTTCCAAAGTGGCTGTCCCTTTTTACAGTTTCACCGCCAGTGTATGAATGTTCCGATTTCTCCCCATCCTCACCAGCATTTGTTACCACCTTCCTGATTTCAGCCACCCCGGGGAGTATGAGGAGGTTCCGTGGTTGTTCTGAGTTACATTTCTCTAATAAATAGTGGCGCCGAGCCCCTTCACCTGGTACTATGTGTGCTTTTTAGCTATTTGTGCGTCTTCTTTGGAGGAATATTTATTTGAATTCTTTGCCCATTTTAAAATTGGATTGTTTGTCCTTTTGAGTTGCACAAGTTCTTTATATATTCTGGATACAAAATCAAATAAATATCAAATATTTATCAAATAAATATTTTGCAAGTATTTTTTCATTCTGTAGTTTGCCTTTTCACTTCCTTAATGGCGTCCTTGAAGGACAATCTTTTTAAATTTTGATTAAGTTTATCCATTTTTCTTCATGTTGTTTGTACTTTTGGTGTTACATCTAAGAAGGCTTTGCCTAACTCAGTAACAAATATTTATACTTATTTTCTTCTAACAGTATTATGTTCCAGCTTTTTCTTTTGGTTCTTTGATCCATTTTGAGTTGAGTTTTGCTGTGTGATCGGAGCTGGAGTCTGACTTCATTCAACTGCCTGTGGACAAACCCAGTTGTTCCAGTGCAGTTTGTTAGACTGTCCTTCTGCCCCTGAATTTTCCTGCCACCCTTGTGGGAAATCAGTTGATTATAAACGTGAGGGTTTATTTCTGTACTCTCTATTCTGTTATTTTAATCCATCTGCCTGTCCTTGGGCCACGTCCACATTGTCCTGACTACTGTAGTATTGTAGTAAGCTTTGAACTCCACAGCTGTGACCTCTTTGTTCCTTTTTCAAGACCATGTTGGCTCTTCTGGGTCCCTTGCATTTTCAAATGAATTTCAAGATCAGTTTTTGAATTTCTGCAAGAGAAGCAGCTGGGATTTTGAGAAAAATTGCTTTAAAACTTCAGATTAATTTGGGGAGTATTGCCATCTTTACGATATTAAGTCTTCTGATCCGTGACTTGGGGATGCTTCCATTTATTTAGGTCTTTAGTTTCTTTCAGTGATGCTGTGTAGTTTCCAATATGAAAGTCTTGGCCTTCTTTTGTTAAATTTGTTCTTTTTGATGCTATTGTAGATGGAGTTGTCTTAATTTCACTTTTGGATTGTTCACTGCTAGTGGGTAGAAGTACAGCTGCGTTTTACATATTGATGTGGTGGCCTGCAGCCCGGCTGCGCTGGTTTATTCTATCAGACTTTCGTGTGAATGTGGGTTCCTTAGGGTTTTCTACTTGTAAGATGATACCGTGTGCAGACGGATAACATTACTTACTTCTTTTCCAATTTGGATGCCTTTTTGTTGTTGTTGTTTCTTTTTTCTTGCCTCGTGGCCCTGACTAGAATCTTCAGTACGATGTTAAGAGTTGCTGAGTGGACATCTTTGCCTTCTCCCTGCTCCCTGCTCTAGGGGAGTTTGAATTACTTTTAAAGATAATTGTTTGCACTTACGTGTCCCGATATTTGTATTTATTCACTGGGACAATGAAATATCTGTAATTTTCTTTGTGGAAGATCTAGCCAAAGAGTGAAATGAGAGAAGGCATTAAACTTTGCAAATGCCTGAGAACTGTATCTTTAAAAGTAACGCAGTTAAGTGGTACGTGATGGGCACAGGGTCTCTTTGGGAGTGACAGCGGTGCTTGGAACCGGCGGAGATCAAGGTTGCACAATGCTAGAAGCCAGTGAGTTGGTCACTTCTGCATGGTTAATTTTGTGTTATGTGAAGTTCACCCCAGTAACAAAGTGGTATAGTTTTCTTAGAAGATAAATTTATAATTTTCCAATGAAAGGAGAGTATATTAAAAGTCTCCTTCACTTAATGGGTCATTGTTTGGCAGCTACTTCCTTGGCATTTTCTCTGCTAAACTATTAAACTAGATTTTTATCTATTGTGGAAAATTGAATAAAAAAATATTACCTTTAAGAAACACATCCTCTTCTGTCTCCACGAAAAACCGATGAGTCAAAAAGGAAGAAGGACTCAGACGTGTGGTGAGTGCAGCAGGGAGGGGCATAAGGGGACTAAATGGTAATGGAAAATTACAACAAAAAACCTAACCAAGGCTTGATTGTTTTCCTTTTCAGAAAAATACAACTCTGAAATACCTAAGAATGACTGGAAACAAGGTCGAAAATGAAGGTGGGATGTTTTTTGCTGCTATGCTACAAATTAATTTGTCCTTAGAGAAGTTAGATCTGGGCGATTGCGATCTGGTGAGTACATTGGTCATGAGGAGGTCACCCAGGCAATGATCATTTTCCCTGGGAACTGGAACAGAGACCAGCTACACAACACCATTATAAATGATTAGCCGGGGTGGGGGGGGGAGCAGGGCAGGGGAGGGAAAGAAGGGGGAGAGACTGGTCAAAGAACATGTATGAATGGCCCGCAGACTTGGACAACAGTGTGGGAACTGACTGGGGAAGCGGGGTTGGGGGTGGGATGGGCAAAGGGGGAAAATTGGCACAACTGTAATAGAATAACAGTTAAAAGTGGTTAGAAAAAGAAAAATCAGTATGGTTTTGAAGGTAGAATTGGTTGAGCATTCAGTTTCTTAAGTATGTGTGGAAAAAGTAAACTTTCCTAAAAAACTACCGGAAATTATGATTATTCTATCTATGAAACTATAGATGTAATGATATTATAATGATATTTTTGAAAAGAAAAAAACGGCTTGCCTTGCCCCTAATGTCTAATAGAGAATATCAGAGAGAAAGTTGCTTCTTCTTGACATGATAGTGCTCACTTAGTAAAAAGATTGTAGTAAATAACATCACAGGAGAATTCCCAGCATCATAAAGATTTTACTACACTTCCATCCATAACCCTTCTTAACCTGTATGGGATTTTTAAAAGAAAAAGACTGTGTTCAGTTTAATTAAACAAATAACTACTTTATTAGTGTAATTTACATATTTTACTTTTGAAAAAAACTGGGAGTGAGTGTGGTTACATTGTAGCGCAAACACCTGAAGCGATGACGCCAAAGCTGCTCTGGGCCTCCACATGCCCTGGCAACGAGAAGCCTGTGTTTTTTGCGTGTCTTGAAATTCCAGGCTTCATTTTCTCAATGTGCTTTTAAACCAGACCTTGAGGCCTAATGTTGGGAACCTGTTGTGCAAGGACATGGAAACAGGAAGATGGTCCAGGAGGCTCTTTGGGGTAGTAGGTTCTGGGGCTTAAAAAGTAGTGTGTGCAGCCAGCTAGAAAGCATTAACTCACCGTGTACCTTCTGCACACACCAGCCACGACCCTCGATTCCTGTGAGGATATAGGAGTGTGTTGGATATGCCCTCTGCCCTTATAAAGCTTCTGTTTAGTTGGGAAAATATCAATAAACAGAAAAAAATGCTATGAAGTCAGTACTCTTGACGGTGGGGAGGAGGTAATTTGCATAATAGGATCGTGGCCTAAGACCTAAGGAAGCAACATTTAGGAGTCAGGAAGGATGAGAAAAACCTGCATTGGAGAGGGTCCATCTAGAACATTCCAGGCAGGGAGTCCGATACACAGACCCTGACAGTGCTTCTCCAAGTGTGGTATAGGTAGTATTACTGATACAGATTGAGGTAATTTTAGTACACAGGTACATATTTTGTAGGTGTTTTCTATTTACTTCAAGGGATTATGGTTTTCCATTCATAGCAGTGATATAGTGTTTTAAAATAAAGTGAAAAATTGAGTTGACTTATGCAAAACCTAGAATTAGGTAAATAGTAAAATGATGTTTAGATATGGCAAAAAAATCACTTGGGTGGCACATGAGTGATGAGATAACAAGTCTGGCAGGTTTTGAGAACTGCAAAGCCAGTGGCTGGACAGCGGGAGTCAGAACAGCGCCTCACAGTGAAGGTGGAACGGTTCGCAGCAGCCACGTTCAGTGACGGTTGTGTGGGCTATGGGTGTGGGTCATGGGAAGAAGAGGGGATTTTATTACAAACACAAATCATGTGAAGCCCTTAAGTTGATGTGGTCTAACTGGTGCTTTCCAAAGATCATTCTGGTTTCTCTGTGGGGAATTGGAGGCTGGCGAGAGGAGAAACCCACTGCCCACGTAGGAAGTTACTGCAGGAGTCCCCCTGGGCGCTGAGGACTGGGGGTGGGGGGTAGCCACTGAGGTGAACTAATCTGAGACTCTTTTAGAGACAGAATTTGGAAGGCTTACTGGTTCACTGGATGGGAGGGTAGCAGGACTGTGGAGTGAGAGGAGGCCCAGGTTTTATGGCATAACTGCCAGGTGTGTGGGGTGGTTCCGTCACTGAGATGGGGAGGACGAGGCCCACCCAGTAGAAATGGAGGCCTGTGGAGGGTGAAGATGCCATTAGGACCCCTACCCCGCCACGCACACACTAAAAGTATGAGTGTGAATACAAAAGAATGCTCGCACAAGGATGTCTGTCCTCAGTAGGACAGAGCCCCAACTGGGGCCCGTGTGTGTGTGTGTGTGTGTGTGTGTGTGTGTGTGTGTGTGTGTGTGTGTGTGTGTCTGAGGTCTGCGCCAGGTAGAACCTTGAGTGCTCTGGCGCAGACCGAGGCAGACGCCCTAGAAGTGGGTACTGCGACGCCCCATGCGTGTCGACCGCAGGTGTCAGGGCAGGGTGCAGAGAGCGTGACAGTCCACTTCTGAATCTGGTCAACCTAGAATTCGAGGAGCAGGAAAGGCTTAAACTTTTTAAAAGCACAATTTGATTTATCAGATTTGATTACTAATCTTGAAATATTTATTTATAGGGAAATTATATACTTTGCCAGTTTCCTTAATGAATTCACCTGTTTTTAGGGAATGCAAAGTGTGATAGCATTTTCTACAGCTCTGACTCAAAACCAAACAATTAAAGGAATAAACCTAAACCGACCTATACTGTATGGTGAACAGGTATGTATTCCAAATGGTGGCAGTTATTACCACATGTGAATGAAACCAAGGTACTACTTAATAAATGATATGGCAAGGTTCACAAATGCATGGTATTTTTAGAATTGTAAACTGTTTACAAAAAAGAAACTTTAAAGGAAAATTATTAATTCTGGATAACAATTTAAAACTAAATATGTTTTAAGCTTGCTTATTTAAGCCTATAACATGCCATTTTTTCCTTCATAAACTCAAATTCTTACTCCGCCTCTGTGAGAGGCAGAGTAGTTACAATGAAAGAATAAAAGATTAAAAATGTTAAAGGCTATGTCATAAGCCAAGCGTGAACTGTTTCGTTTTGTCATGTTTAAATCATGAGTAATAACGGCAAATGTTGTGTGAATGGCAGGCCAGGAAGTCTGGACTTGACCCTGTAGGCAAGCTGCATCTTGGAGACAGAAAGATGAGTAAAAACGTGGTTCCTACTCTCAAAGCTTCTCCTTGCTCCTTAACATCTTCGTAGGTGGCTTTCCTCTCTTATCAGTTGTAAAAAGCTAGAGAATAAGAATTCATTGCATTATTGATGTAAACAAAAACATTATCTACCAAAATAATGTTCAAAGCACTTTATATAGCCTTTAAATTAATCTCTCCCTGTTCTCCATTAGTATGAGTCATTGAGAATTAACCATATTTTTGGTCAATTTTTTTCATATGCATTCTTTGCCTACATGGATCTCTCCTTTGAATTACCTCTGCACTCTTCTGTATCAAAATTTTGGGAATTTTACATGTTAATTGCTTCATATACATAAATCTAATCTGTTTAACAAGACATTCAGAGTCCTCAAATACAAGCACCCTTCTTTAAAGGCCAGCAAGGTACCTGCCTCAAAGTAAGGATTCAGTAAATTGCTTCATTCGTGATTTATTTAGTTAATATTTGAATGCAGCCCTACATCAGAGACAGTGCTGAGTGTTAGGGATAAGAAGTCAAACAAAGCACATAGCTGTTTGTCTTCAAAGAGCTTTCCCTGTCCATGGAGTGAGATCAAGTTTCGAGGGTGACATGCTCAGGGTGCCTTGGGAGCATGAGGAAGGGGGACAAGAGGGAGCTGGGGAGGCTCTCAGATTGAGGACATGACAAATATGAAGGCTAAACATTTTCTGGATTAAAGTCCCAAGGAAATAAATGTTAAACTGTATGAAATCACATTAGAAGCACAAATTCTCATTCAAATATGTTGACAGATGTTATTCATTGCTCCCAAATCCGCCCGAGAAGAGTTATTACAAGCCCAGGGCTCTTTCTCTGGCCCAGGCCCTTGCTCTCAGGCTAGAGCTTCAGCTAAATAAACTCTAGGCTGCCTTCTCTGCCTCTGCCGGACAGCCCACTGTTACCGGCTACCCTCTTACACGCTTGTGGAGCAGAATCCTCTTCTGCCTCCTCCTGCTTTGCAGTTCTGAATTGTAAGCCTGCAAAATTACTGTTTTAAAGTTTTATTTTTCGTTATTTGGGGAGCTTGGAAAAATATCGATGCCAGGCATCACCCTAGACAAATTAAATCAACAAACTCAGTGAATGGGGCTAAAAAAAAACCACGCTTTACTATTTCTGACACTAGTTTTCTCTGTCAAACTTCTCGACCTAAAAATGTGATTAAGGTGTAAAACACAATTTTTTGAAAGTTTTTTATTTTGATGGTTCAAGTACAGTTTTCTACCCTTTACCCCCATCCCAGCCCACCCCCGCCCAGCCCTCCCCTCCTCCCTCCTGTCTCCACCCCTCCTCCCTGTTATTGTCCATGTGTCCTTTATACTAGTTCCTGCACTTCCCCCCTTCCCCTGAAATTCCCTCCCCTCTCCCCTCTGTTCCCTGTCAGCCTGTTCTCAAAACACAAATATTTTTGAGTATGTCCTCCATTGCAGACACCATCCTGAGCAGTACTGCATTTCCTGAGTGATTAGTTTGCATTTGTTAAGATCAGAGAGTGCAGCTTCCCCTTGGGTATATGTTATCATTGTCAAAGCAATAATTTAAACAAACCAGATGCAGGATTATAGAGTATTGAACAGTGATAAATGCTTTGTACTTTTCTATAGAACTCATTTCATGTAGGTACTTTCATTCCGTGTGGGAAGTATAATTTCACTTAGTTTACAGAAAAGGAAACATGAAATAATTTGCTCGGTCATATAGCTAGCAAAAGGCAAATCTAGCATCTGGACAGTTTTATTATAAAGCACATGTACAATCTACTATTGCTGTGCAGTTTTTAACTTTTAAAGTTTGTCATAGCCCTGGCTGGTGTGGCTCAGTGGATTGAGTGCTGGCCTGTGAACCAAAGACTTGCTGGTTTGATTCCCAGTTGGGGCACATTCCTGGGTTGCTGGCCAAAGCGACCACACATTGATGTTTCTCTCACTCTCTTTCCCTCTAAAAATAAATTTAAAAAATTATTTTGAAGTTTGTCTTAAAAGTGCTTTCTGGAAGCCTGTCCAGACAGTATCCATCCATGTACATGGAGACATTTATTGAAGAAGATACAACATTGTACACAGAACAATGATGCCTCAGTTCCCTTCAAAGTAGGCACCTTGAGACCTCACACAGTTCTACCAATTGCTGTTAGCTGCCCCATCGTACTTTCCTGAATCTCATCAATAGTCTGAAAGCTCTTCCCCTTTTAAAGGTGATTTTAGTTTTGGAAAAAGCCAGAAAAAGCCGGAAAAAGTTTCATAAAAAAGCTCTGTAGGAGATGTGATGCATGAGTGGATGTGTTGTTGTGATGAAGCTGTTAATCACCAGTTGCCCATAGCTGTGGCCCTCTGAATTATTCAAAAAATTTCCATGGAGGAATGTTCAAGCTTAACGCAAAATTTGTTTCTCTTCTTGCTCAGTCCTTTTGAATGTGACAGCCACACAGTGCACACGCTCACTCAATGTTGTCTACTGCCCCCACTGACTAGTACAGTGAAGTCATCATTGTTCACACATGTGCATTTCAGTCCACTCTCTTTAGCTGCTGGGTTACATTGATGTCGGCACAAACTGTTCTCATTATGTTAACAATGGCTGGACTTTTTCTGGACAGAACTCATATGGTTATCTATCTTTGTGATCAGCATTTCCAGTGACTCTAAAACTTACTGCAAATACAAGAATCATGCAAGAGGACCATGAGATACTTTGGCCCATTCATTTAAAAGCACATTTTTTATTTTGTTAAAAATTTGAAGTGCTTGGTATTCAAATCCTCATTTGAGGTTATATACCTTTTGCCTGGGAGCAACTAGATTTGAGGATTAAAAAAAAAATGTCTTCCAGTGACCAGAAAACAAGAGTAAAACATATTTAGACATTGGGATGATTATAAATGGGAGGAATCAGATATATCAGTTGGTTAAAATGAGTATTTTAAAATAGATTCAAGACTGGGAAATGCCTTTGTATCTTGCCTACTGTGAAGCATGAGTTTAGAGTTTAGAAACGTGGAAGATCAAGAACAGTTTAGAGACCCTTTAGAGGGGACAGCAGTAAGGGAGCTTATACGCTCAATACATCCTGGGGCCGATTGTTTTTTTTTTCCTTCTGAAATGATTATTTCTGGTAACAGTTATGATTTTTTAACTAGCCTCTTACATTACTTAGTCATTGCATTTTACAAGTGCCTGCTGCCTGTCTCTAAGACCGTGAACATACCATATGTGGCAAAAACGGTAAAGATTATCATGGCAAAAATGGCTTTTTAAGAAAAAGCCAGGCCAAACAAAATGCAAGTTGTAGACTGTCTTAACTGATGTAATCTTTTTAAAAAGCTTTTAAAAATAGGAGAAATAGACAGAAAACTGTACTTGAAAAATAAAATTAAAAAAACCAATACATCTAAAAAAAATTTAGCATATGTTCAGAGCAAACACGTACTATTTCAAAATTCTACTTTAGAAAAATGATTGTACCTGTTTTTAGGAAGAGTCCACAGTTCACCTAGGCCACATGTTAAAAGAAAACCACTGCCTTGTGGAACTGTACATGAGTAAGCATGACGTAAGAAACTCTGGCCTCAAGCAGCTGAGTGATGCACTGTATCTGAACAAAAGCCTGCGCTACCTTGATATCAGCTGGTAGGTGATGACTGCGATTCAGAAGTTAAGACATGGGAATAATCTACGTAAATATTCATGGTATGTAGGATATTTTATTCCAAAGATTAGAAAACACAACCATTGTTATCAACCTTTTATCCTAAGCTTTAGAATTTAGTTTATACTGTATGGTAAACTTTCATTAGTTTATTTTTGGAAATTGAGTGATTAAAAATAAATGTTTACTAACTAGTATTGTTTATCATTATGTTTTTTAAAAGATTTTATTTTTAGAGAAAGAGGAAGGGAAGGAGAAAGAGAGGGAGAAAAACATCCATGTGTGAGAGAAACACTGATTGGTTGCCTCTCATACATGCCCTGACCAGGGACTAACCCACAACCCAGGCTTGTGCCCTGATCTGGAATTGAAATGGTGGCCTTGCAGTTTGCAGTTTGCAGGATGACACCCAACGAACTGAGCCACACTGGTCAGGGCACTTTATAACAGTTTTTAAGCATGTTATCTTTATGAATAAAATACTTCATATGTTCAAATATAACTACGTATGTTTTCCTTTTACAGCAATAAAATAACTCGTGATGGAATCATTTCTTTGGCCGATGTCCTGAAAAGCAACACTACCTTGGAAGTAATAGATCTTTCTTTTAACAGAATAGAAAATGTAGGAGCACAGAAACTCAGTGAAACTCTTGCTTCACACAACAGAAGTCTTAAAGCGTTAGTATGGTTTTATATTTAACCAGAATAACAGAAAAATTTAAATGTAACCTCAAAGCACTTAAGATTCATGATGAAATATGTAAACTCATTTTCTAAAGTGACCTAATATTAAGCTTAAACATTTCAGTTTTTTCTATTTTTGAAAAGTACTCGTAAAATAAGATTGATTTTAGTTATGATTGCTTAAAATTAATGAGAAAATTCTTACTGCTTATATTTAGTCTGAATTCTAACAAAAACCATAATTATTCATATTGGTCAACTAAAAATAAAGAAGGAATAAAAAAATTTGGTGACTTTATCTTGAAAAATAATCTGTAATCCATCCCCAAACGTTTACTGAATAGTAAAACCATTTCCAAAATGTAGGTAGCCCTACTAGGTACATGCAGCATACAATTAGAAAACTATGTCTCCCGGATATTAGGAATTACATGGTCAATATTTTGACTATTACACTAAACATATTTTAAGGATAATGCTACGACTTTACACAATAACATGTTTGTAATAAATGTTGTTGCTAACTTACTCATTCTTTTAATGGAAATACTGGTTTCTATGTTATTACTTTTTGTTTTCCCCAAGGTTGTCAGTAGTCAGCAATAGCATAGAGGGAGAAGGACTTGTTGCACTTTCACAATCGATGAAAACAAACACCACACTCTCTAATATCTACATTTGGGGAAACAAATTTGATGAGGCTACATGTGTGGTAAGTTTGTTTCTTGACTGAAGGTGTATTTCTTGGGGACTTCTCTGTAACATCAGACATTATAATTATTTACACCATTACAAGTGCATTAGGAATGATTACAAAGTAGAGTGAGACATTTGTTTTGATACATTTAACATTAAGTCCTAAAAATTGGCTACTGGAAATTTTAGGGTTGAAATAGCAAAAGATATCAAACTACATATAAATGTAAGGTCATATACTACAACCTGAGTTTAGAACTAATGAAAAGCTAAAGCAGAAGGCAACTAGACTTTTAAATCTTTTACTGTAATAATTTTTGCCTTTCTCTACAATTGCAAACTTACTGACAAACCATTTGACCGTATTTGTATGACACCCTTACACAGACACCAATGATCCATGAGATATACGAGGTAATTTCTACAATGAAGAAATACTTAGGCAGCCAGCCAGGTCAGCATCTAATACTGTGGGGATTACTCTCTTAGCCTAAATCTGTAGATTCGCTTCAGCGGCTTCACGAACTCCACATAGTTGTATGACAAAATCTGCACTTGCTCACTTTCCTGAGAAGTGGATTCCTCACTGGCATCAGATCTGCAAGGACCTATACAGTAGCTACCCCACCCGCCTCACTGAACCACCTCTGTGGGATTTGAAAATCTTGACCGTGGCATCTTTGGTCCATACAATTGGTAATACAGAGAATTGTTAACTCTGGTAGTCATTTTTAAAAAGTGCCTAATATATTACAAATTTTACATAATTATAATTTCATTGTGTGAAATTAAATGAATAAAAACCTAACCACAGTACCTGGAAAATATTAAGACTCAGCAGTGTTACTCAGAATATTTATTGATACACTGAAAATTAGCACAACTAATTTGCTTAAGCACTATACAGTGAACAAACTATTATCTTAATGATATAGTTTCTCTTTTCTTAAAAATCTTAGGCATATTCCGACTTAATTCAAACGGGCCGTCTAAAACCAGACAATACAGATGTGGAGCCGTATGTGGTGGATGGACATGCGTACCTTGCAGAAGTCTCCAATGGCCTTAAAAAGTACTATTACTGGACACCAACTTATGGAGATGCTTGCAGCCTCTCATCTAATGCAGGTTTTAGTATTGTGCCAGTAGGTAAACAGCTGTGAAAGAAGGCTCTTAAATGTTCATACATTTGTCCTATTACATTCACAGATTAGTATTTTATTAATCTGCCTATTAACTTTCATAAATTAGAACAAGTTACTTTTGTCAAATACATAAAAGATATATTAAACTTTGTATGACTATGCATTATGAAAAAGCTGACTAGTGTAATTTTTAAAAGAAATTTGATGAAACAGGGACTAAAATTTTAACCCTAGAGAATCAAGGAACTAAACTATTTTTATAAAGAAAAATATAACCAAGCGTAAAATAGCAATGAAGCCAAGTCATTAGAGGTGTGCTAATTGCAAGTTGACATGAAGGGGCAGAACAGTTTCAGGTGGCAGATACTTAGGGAGTGGAATTGCAAAGGGTTAGGGGTTGAAGTATTTTATATGTCTTATTTAGGTACTACAGATGGGTGTTGATAGAATCTCACAAATAAAGGCAAGTATATATAAATATAAATATAAACATTTACAAATACATGTATCTTTCCAAACAAGTCACTGCTGCCAATGAGCTTTTTAAGATAGTTTCGGAGGGTGCCAGTAAAATTTTAAATGATTTAATGGTAAATAATGGTAAATAATCTGTCCAGAGTTAATTAGCATAGTTTGTCAAACTACAGATACTAATCAGCATTGTGTAAAGTGTGGCCCATCAGAATCCCTGGGGCAAATGTTTAAAATACATTTAGATTATTAAAAGAGACCTACTGAATCAGAATTTCTAGGCAGTCTGTGAAATCTATATTTTTACAATCCAGGTTACCTTTAATCTCACTATAGTTTAAGAACCAATGATCTGGTTTTCTCATTCTTCAAATTTTTGTTTTTTAAAAAATACAGACATACTTCTTTTAAATGGAAGCATAACAATCATACAGAAAAGTACAAAAATCGTAAGTGAACAGCAAGATGAATCATCACAAAGCTCGCCACCTATGCTAACCATGACAGATGGACAGCAAATGCCACAAGCCTCCCCGATGCTCCTCCAACCCCCTTCCCATAGATTCCACTATCCTGACTCCTCACAGCAGAACAGTTTTGGCTGTTTTGATAGTATATAAATGGAATCAAACAGTACATATGTTTTTGTATCTGACTTTGGTTGCTCAGCATTAGTGATTCACTTATATTACATAACAGTAGTCCATCTTTTACTGCTTTGAAATACTCTATAATATGCTGGGCTTTAGAGGAATCTACAGCATTCTGGAAAGATTGCCTCTCAGCTGTGACAGTCACATCCAAGTAAACCTTAGTAACACAGCTTGCTTTTCCAGGCCTCTCTGTTCCTGTGTGCTATTGTAGGGGTCCCACAAGTCCCCATATTCTCCCTCCCAAGAGGGGACTCAGGAGACAGAACTGCAGAAGTCTCCAAAGTTCTCTTCACCTAAGAGGACCAAGATGAGGCCAGTCTAGCCAAGAACTACTGTTTTATCCAGGACAGGAAAAACCTGAGCACCTATTTCATAAGCTGTTGCTTAGTGTGTCAGAGGCCAGGAAGATGCCCAAGAATGGAAGAGCTGAAGACACTGACTGCCTCAATGCCACTGTGTCATGTGAGCCCCCTCCTCCATATACTGGACACCATTTTGGAGAGAAGACAAGGGCAGAAAATAAGATAACAATGTTCTAAGAGTTTAAGCATTATTTAAAGATATTATAAGGCTAGGTTTTAAAGTGGTTAGGACTAAGTTATTTTCCCAGATCTCCCACTGGTGGGGGGTCAAGAGGAAGGACAGGTGAGTCCTGTAGGAAACTCTACTTCTGCACATGTGAAGCGTGATGTGCAAATCTGCACCCGTGTATGTGTTTTAATGGAAGTTTCCTTCCATGTTCCTCTTAGCAGTCCTTTAACATCTGGCTGATACACAGCCTTGTATCACAGTGCTGCAAATTACTTAATGCTTATTTTACAATGCCTCAAATTTAAGCAAAAAAGCAAGAAACAGTGATTTATACTTTTTAGATATTTGATAAAATAATGATCTTGTTTGTGGCACACGATCTGCTTTTCAAACTACTATTTATGTCTTATCTACTACTCAAACCATATCCACCTGGCTTCTGCTCCCAGTCACCCAACCCCATGTTGTCTGTGACTGGCAACCATTTTAACTTCCGTGTACCATGTGACCAACACAAAGCCACTCGTCTTTGTGAAACTTGCACCACCGTTTTTCTGTTAATCACTTTCCATCTCCTTCTCTGTCTTTTGCTCATTCTTTAAAAGCATTTCCCCAAGATTTTGTCCTCATCCTTTGTTCTTCTGTACCATCTCCCAGGGCTGCCTTAGTCATTTCTATCACAATAATTATTGGCCTTATTCTGCAAGATCTGTATCTCTAGTTTTAACTTCTGGGTCTCAGGCCCCATTTCCAACTACTGCTAGATGGTTTCACATGGATACCTCACCACCCATCAAATTCAGTACACCCAAAATAGTCTTATCACACATAAATGTCCTTAGTATCACCATTTCAATCTAAGGATCAAAACTTAGGAGTCTGTAAGTTGGGCTGTATAACTGCAAGGAACAGAAGCTGACCCAAGCCTAAGAAAACGGGGATTTACTGTAAGGATGTAACAGGCAAAAGTATCACTGGCACCCAGGGACAGGGAAATGAAGCATAGCTGTGCCACCTGCAGAATGGGACTGAAAAGCTAGAAACCCAGGCCACTAAGTTTGGTTCTAAAAACCTATTTTTCCCCCTGGCTCTGCTCTACAGATCAACTTTCTCTACTGTTTCCTTTAGACTTTGGCTTGCTTCACCAACTGTGGGCTACTTGTAAATGATCTTTTCATTTACGTGTCTGCATAATAGCCTCAGCATTTCATAGAAAGAACCAGTTCAGTCTGGCCTAAGAATTGTTTCTCCCCAGTAAGGTGTCGGGTCAGCTGTGGTGGTAAGTATGGAATCATGTGGTACAAATGTGGCTATCCAAACCCCACCCTTCAGCACTCACCTTGCAGTTCAGTGTGTGAGAACGTGGGTTATAAACCTGGCTGTTGAATCCCATTCCTTCAGCACAGGCTAAGGGTTGAGGACTATGGCAGGTAAGATGGTGTAAGTACAGACCGTGTCTACAGGACATGTCTTAGACGTCTGTCTCATTTCATACTTGCTCCCCATTCTGCCTCTGTCAGCTGTGCGAAACTTGCTCCCATCAGCCATCTCGTTTGCAGATCCAGGGGTGCAATGGTCCTTTCTCTGTTCATTCAATTCTCATTGACTGCTCAGCATTTCCTTTCTTGCCTTCCTCCCCTGTAGTACTCAACATTCTAATTTATTCTATTGCTATTATGTATTATCTAACTTTCAAGCATTTGAAATAGTAGCCAGATATTTTAATTCAAATATCTGTTCACATCCACAGTGTTTATTTTAGTCTATTCTTCTAGAAATGGGATAACCTATTTCTCATGATTACTTAATTCCTTAAACAAACATACCAAATCTCACCTGAATGAATAGGAATAGGGTTTGCAGAAGATGAATAAATCATATATTGTTTCAAGAACTTAATACTCTTAATAAGTAAATCTCAATACTGTTCATAAATGAGTAAAAATGTAGAATTCACAGTATTGTATTAAAATACAATTTCTTTTTACTCAGTGGTATTTCTAGCTAAGTTCTACAAAATCTCTGAAAAAGATGGAAAGTTATATCAACAGTTTCATTTATAAATGCTTCCCAAAGGAAGAACATAAAGAAATATGTAGGATAATAGTTCTCAGTGGGGCTTTGCCAGCAGGTATGTCCCGAAGATTCCATACGCCTAAGCTGGGGTGGGGGGTTTGGATATCATTATTCTATAAAGATGTTTTCGATACGAATCAAGTGTTAGAACCATTATTCTTGGATATTTAGAAATACAAATACATGTCTTTACATGAGTATGTTTCAACTATGCATTTGCACAATTTCTGTAGAATTAAAACATACAGAAAAGTGACAAACTATTGTTGCAACAGAATAGAAGCTTTTCTTTTGGAAAGAAAAACAATTTTCTAAAATTTGTCTCTTAAATCCTTCTATGAATTTAAACACAAAACAAGTACCATTTAAAAACAGCAAAAATCATTTTTATATAAGCTATTGTTTCTTTTTGAAAAGTCTAATCTCTATCAATACAGTAAGAAAAATCTAATACAAATATAAAACAAAATTTAGAAAATAATTTGTTTCTCAATATGATCTTCACCATCCCAAAGACTTTCAAAATACTTAAATAATTTACAGACCCTTCTTAGCACACTGTATGATAATATATTTAAAGATGAACTGAACTAAAATGATAATCATGTTAGAATGATACTGGATATAACTAAAATATATGCACATCAGGGTAAAAAAACAATGGTATTATGAGAATGACAAGACAGTAACTTCAGTTTTCAATCTTCGTTTACTTGTCATTCTGGAAGAGCATCAAGCCATCCCAATTTAAAATAAAAATTATTTAAGAAGCAGATAATGTCATGAAAAAAAGCACAGCAAATCAATCACACCCCCACTCTTTAGTCCAGTAAGACTGAAAATAATAAATGTGAAGGTATTTTTTTTAATCTATGCAAAGGCAGAATGCTAATACCATATTAGAGAAAATTTGGTACTTTCTGCCTTCACAGAATTACGACATCACTATGGTGTTTTTAAAAGAACTTTTGTTCATTAGATGCTTAGGTTAATGAAGATGTCAATTAAATATAACCTCTCCATTTCAGGAGACTTCTTTAAAAAACTGAGTCTTTAAATTTTCTTTAAAATATTTGCATTCCAATAAATTCCTATTGTATTTAAGCCAAAACAGATTAGTTGAACATTTTATAATTCTATAGGTTGTAAACTCAGTATATTAATATACATGCATAATTAGATTTCTTAGATAAATAATTAAGTGCTATGTTTCATGGAAATACAAGGCAATATTTCAAACTCTATTCAATTAAGTCAATCCCACTGGTAGCAATTTATTGTGAAAATCCTGAGTATGCTGTGAAATGGTGACAGTTTCTACAGTTTACAAGAATTACGTAGTTTTATTATACCCTCTAGTTGGTTCCTATGACCCGGACCCCAGAAAAAATACAATTAATGAAATCAATACCAATGGAAAATACATTAACTTTATTACAGGTATACTTTAAAAACAAAAACAAACCACAACTAATGCATGGCAGAAATAAAACATAATGTCACCATGGTGTTCAATCAGCAGTAAAAGAACTGATTTTATGAAACTGATAATTTAATGTCCAAGGTCACGCAGTGAAGTAAGTCACTATGTGGGCAAAGTAGGATAAGGAAGAGTGGTAGCAAAGAGAATAATACTGAATGTTCTTCAGGAAGGAGAAGGGCTACTGTGAGGCTACAACCATCACCAAAAGTGGTCTATAAAATTTGAAGTTTCAAAACTTATCAAACACTCAAATATAAAATGTTTAATAAACTGGCTTTCTGATAACTCAAATGTTTACTTATAATTGAAGTTAATTTCCTAAATCTATGTAATATAATGAATCATATTCAGGAGCCAAGTGATTTATAGTATGCTTTACGTTTATATTTTGAAAATTCTTTTTGGAATTTAATATTTTAAAAAGTGCGTTAACAAGAGGCTTATCAAAATTTTCCTCATCTTCAGTAACCTAGAAACCTATTAAATCATAACCAGAGTCAAATTTTGAAAATAGCTTGTAACAAGGTAAAAACACCAAATATCTATTATAAACTTATTTTGAAAACACAGTCTCAGGTAACTCAAATCAAAAGTATTACTAGTTTTCTCCGGACTACGGAGTTCTAAAATGAACAAAAATTTATACAGTTTTCTAGCTTTTAAGAGACTTATTTTTGTTTAATTAGAAAAGTTATCTCCAATGGATTATATTAATAGAGAAATGGCATAATTCTTATTAGTGCCTACATTTCTTAGGCAGAAATATGAAATTTTATTTTTCTCCTCAGTTTATGCATTGGTCTGTGGGGCTTAGTAACAGCAACTCTTAGGCTGATGCCATCGTAGATTTTGCTTAAATTTTGAGGGAAAGAAAAGTTTTAAATTACACAGGTCAAACTGAATCATATAAACTGATAGATTCCATTTCAATACATGGAAGGCAATTAATTCTAAGATGCAAAATAAAAATTGAACTAAGGCAGCTCTAAAAGAAAATGAAACCTAACCACCCAAAATAGTGCTACTGTATTATATAATTCATTTCTTAAAAAACTGCAGGTGTATTATAGACATAAAAGCCAGAACTCAAAATAGGCATAGCAGTTATGATGCAGCATCAGGCGCCTTTACTTGAATGAATCATAATGGCCACAACTCAAATACATAGTATTTTAAGATGAGTATCTGCACCTTACCAGAGATGTTTATGTTTACTACCAGAGATGTCTTAGCAAATCTACATTCCCTACGAAGTCAGTATAACTGTTGTAAAAAAATCAACTGTGGTTCTGAATACCCATTCACAGATGACCTCAACAATGTATCTGATGTAGGAGACTGATTATCTGTGACAGGCAGAAGCATGTGGTGGTCCTCAGTCCCAAGTGGAAGGGCCAGTGGTAAAGTCATATCAGAAGGCTTCACATCCAAAGTTTCTGATAAAGGGCTTTTCTGTATGGAATCTTGTTCACACAGGGGATGATCCTCTATACTAGAATCTAGAATTTTATCTTCCCCTGAAATGAAAGGGAAAAAAATTATACTATTTTTACAAACAAAGGGAAAACTCTTACCATTCCCAGAACTTGCATTTCAACTACCACACTTACTCAAGCTACTTTTCTGCTGAGGTGCCCTTATTATCCATACAAATCAATATGGACTTCAAGACTAGGTTTGAACACCAGCTCCGAGGTAAAAATGGACTTAATTGTTCTAGCCCAGGGTTAGCTGTTTCTCATCTATTTTATCAGTCATTTTTCAATGTTTCATATACTGCCTTGTTGTGACATCCTATCCTCAGTGCTACTTAACGCTTAACTTAGGAATGCTTTAATCCTCAAGTAGACTGAAATACCTAACAGTGATACCTATAATAAGTACTCTGTTTGTTCACTGACTGTATTAATGAATCGTTCATACTATTCTGTAAATTCAAGTTCAGAATGGCACATTCGTGTATTTTCAGAGGTGAGGAATCCTGCTCTAGTCAAGGGAGTAATTATCACACCGATTAAAGACATATTTTGCCTTCAGATTTTCTACTAGCTTTACTGTGCTCCTGACAGTCCAAAGTATTGACAAGATTTCAGTCTCATTATCCTCTTTAGGCAAAACTGCCTGTTTGCTTTTATGAAATTGTAACTCAGTTCTTGCAGTGCACTCTTCAGTTCCACCAGCCAAGGGCACAGCCTGCACTTTCCTGTCCCAGTGACTCCCTTCCCAATGCTGCCTGGAACGAGCCCTTCCTTTTCCCACATCCACCCTCCGGGCTCTTCTTGTCCTGCAAGTTCCCTAAAACTCAAGCCTTTCCAACACCTCAAAATAGTTACTCTTCTTCAGCACTTCTGTGTCTCTATTATAGCCCACATTTGGTCTCATAATCGTATTTAGTTCTATTTTTATGTAACGGTTTGTAGCTTCTTATTTCCATACACACACAAAACACACACATACATATTTGGGTTATTAACATTCATGATGGACCCCCCCAAAACTACAGTAAACTCTAGGCAACCCAGATTCTAGTATGAGGAATGGTGATATGTAGTTTGCTTATATATTCATTTTTAAAACTATTCATAAATCAGATTTTTAAAGGAGAAAATATTTCAATATTACTTATTAGGTCAACATAAAAAGACATTCACAGTGTAAATTATAAAGCTGCCTTACTTGCAGGTATCTAAGTTTAAAAAACTCTAAACTGTTATGTGCATCTCAGCATTAATAAGAGCACCAATATGAGCACCACATTTTAAAGAAACATAAACATTTACCAGAATGAACTTTTGTTTTGTGCTTCTTTAAATTTTTAATATCTGTGTAAGAATTTCCACATAATTCGCAGATAAACGGTCTTTCTCCTGAAAAACAAGTTAAAAGTTTAAAACATCAGTATTTTAGAAACTAAGACAAAAATATCCATGTTTAGGAGCACAAGGTGAACATTACTACACTTTAAATTTAGTTTCAAATTATCATTTTAATCACATGGTTATAATATAGTGAAATAAAAACTCTCTATATAGGCACTCCTTTATGTAAAGCATCCCCATTTTAGGGAAAACGGAGCATTTTCATTAACAGAAATTTTAAACTTAAAAGAACACCTCTCTCTTAAAGCCCTGGTGGTAGCTCAGTGAGTTAGAGCGTTGTCCCAATACACAAAGGTTTCGGGTTTGATCCCCACTCAGAACAGATACAAGAGTCAACCAGTGAATACAGAAATAAGTGGAACAATTAATTAATGTTTCTTTCTCTCAAATCGGTAAGGAAAAAAAAACATTTTTTAATTTTTATCAGACATTTAGTGAGTGCAATTATATGCCAGAGCCTGCCTAAGACATGTAGCAGGGGGAAGAAGCATAATTATGTTTTTCTGTTCTCAAGTAGCTTACAAATTACTAGAAAAATCCTTTAAAAAACTAACAAAATGAAGTGCTACAAAACTGTAATTCTTTTGAAGTAAAAACTATTTGATGCTTTATTATGCAAACCAAACAGCATAATAAATATTCTTTTTCTCTTAAAAAGAAAAAGTCAAAACAGCACATTGTCAAGGTGGCTTTTTCCTTTTACATTTTTTTTATACTCAGTATTTTCTTCATACTATTTACACACTGCCTTTTAAAATAAACATGTCAATATTAAAATTTATTCCTAAAACTTGCATACTGAACACTGTTTAGAATGAAAATCTAATATTATATTACTGATTCCTTTTCATTTCTTGGTATATCTGCCATTAAATCAAAATCATTTTAAAAAACTTGATTTGGCATATTTCTTAGAAAATTATACAACTCTCAACCATATTCAATTCATACTCCTAACAACTAAAAAACCAAAATAAGCAAATGAAAAGTTGGTATTTATGCATTAAAATATTACTATATAGATACCATAGAGTCCATAATGGTTTAAAAGTCAAGGTTTACATAAAAAGAAATTAGAGAGAACAAAAAATAATACGTTCCCCCTAAACACAGACCTGTATGGGATCGAAAGTGTTTGTTGAGCTCTCCTGAGGAAATAAAACTTTTCCCACAAATACCACATATGTATGGTTTTTCACCTAGATGGAAAATAAAAGCGAAGTGGTGTACTATACCAATATAATATTTATCAATTATAATAATTTAAAGTAACCTGTTCTAAAATATTTAAATTAAAACCTCTTTATATTGTATTATAGAGGTATTTTTCAGTGTGATCCAACTGAAATGAGTATTAATTATTTTACACTGTTCATGTAACCTAACGCTTTTCACGTAACAAAACTTTATTTCTGCAAATGTCCTTCTAGTAGACTAGAGTTGGGCAAGAAATTAGATTTTATATGATTAATAACATGTAAATTCATCAATCCATAGTTCAATTCTTGCTATCTAGTATATTATTAAAAATAAAATTATTTAGAAAAAATGTATTAAAAATGCACCCTATGAATAATGAAAATCTTTGAACAGAATTTGTCTTAAACCTGTTTAATATGCAAATCTTAGAATGTCTGTGTAGGAAGTCACAAAATCAATGTTCTACCCAAATCCACCCCTACCCCTTAATTTCACTCTACAGTTTTATCCAAGGGAAATGAAACTTCAAGAGGCTACAGAGTTTTTCTAAGGTCATAAAGCATTTCAACTCAAATTTGTACATTGTCAGAATTATGATTTTAATGTATGTTACGTGATAAAAATTTTACCCACTGTATATTATTTAAAAAATAAGTGTTTTTATATATATCAGAAAGTCATAAACATAAAAAGCTTCAAAAAGCACAAACACAACAGGTATGTAACTACAGTCTGTAATTTACTTTCCGTAAAGGCTCAACTTCCCCTTTTATTTTATTTACAGCTTCCCTTACGTAAGGCAGTCTTCTCCGCATCAAATTCTTACCCGTATGCTTTCGAGAATGAGTGATAAGAGAACTAGAGACAGCAAATGCCTTCCCACAAGTATCACACACGTAAGGCTTCTCTCCAGTATGCCTACGGACATGATAGGTCAGTGTGCTGGCTTGGGCAAATCTCTGTCCACACCTATCACAGACATATGGCTTCTCTCCACTATGCTTCCTATTAGTAAATACATACAGAGTTATGTGATAGTAAAACAATTTGGAGGTCAATTTATAGAGCAAGTATTTTTCACACAACTTTCATACAGTATTTTATTTCATCTTAACAGACCAAGTATATATATATTTAAATAAAACCAACAGTTTCAATGTTTTTTTTTAATAAAACATAAGTTCTGAGACCAGTTCAAAAAGTACTGCCATCATCTTTATATGGTTCTCAAATGTGCCCCGAATTCTGCAATTATTTTTGCTTGTCCATTCACTCACTCCTCAAAAGTTTTCTTTCCTCAAAACTCTTAGCACCTCCTTATCCATCCTCACTCTTAGCTGATTCCTTTGCTTCCTATTTCACAGAAAAATTTAAGCAATCAGAAAATTCCCATCACAACTCTCTACCTATAGACATCTGTACCTATAGTTTGGTTTTCCTACTTGTTAACTCTGAGGATGATGATACTTCATCTGAATCTGTCTACTCCCATTTGTGTACTTTAGATACTATCCCCCTTTCCTACTAGTATCACTCCTGCACTTTCCTCCATCCTACCTCATCCATTTTCCCCATCCCACTGGATTGCAGTGTACAAATATAGTGATTTCTCCCATCTTACAAGACACTTGACCTTACTTGCTCTTCCATTTCTTTGCTACTGCTTGACAAAACCTTGAGTCTCCAACTGTACTTCTGTATTTCTTCAACAGAAGAAATACTGTTCTACTGTATTTCTTCTCTACTAATCTATTCTCTACTAGCCTCTGCTACCACTACTTTCATCAAGAGCACTGTTGACCTCTCACTTTGCAAAATCCAAGTCAATTCTGTCTTGTCCCAAACATAAGATTTGAGAAAGCTGATTACTCCCTTCTGAAATCATTTTCTTCACTTGGATTCTGAGGCACTCCACTCTTCTGGTTTTTCTCTTATATTGGCTGCTCTTTCCTAGTCACCTTTGCTGGTACTTGCCCATCTTCCAGAGCTCTTGAGTGTTGTATGACTTCAATCCTTTGATCTCTTTTCTATCTACACTCATTCTCTCCTTGTGACCTCAGCCAATGTATGGCTTTCAATACTATCTATTGGATTGGCCAAAAAGTCCATATGGTTTTTTCAGTAAATAAAAGACACATTTTTCACTTTTACCAATAACTTTGATGATTTGGATATTGAGTATGTTGGTTATCTCCTGTGTGGTAGAACACTGACTGTTCTCAATTAATGCTTCAATTTGATCACTATCAACTTTAAGTGGCCTATGTGACTGTGGAAAATTGTCCAGCAAGAAATCTCCAGCATGAAACTTCACAAACGACATTTGGCAAGTGAGATCAGTCATAGCATCTTCTCCATACACTGAACAAATCTTTTGTGTTTCAGTTGTATTTTTCTCTTTCTTGAAATAGTAAAGCATAATATAATGAAAATGTTTATTTTCTTCCATTTCTCAATATTAAAATGGCTGCATAAAAATTCACCAACTTTTTTTTTAAATGCACCCAATAGGAAAGGTGTCACAATACAATCTAATAAAACTCATTTGAATGAAGTTAAAGACAACTAAGAGCTAACAGAGCTATCATATGGGGAAAAAATTTTTTTTTGGCCAACCCAATACATGTTAATGACTTCCAAATGCGTATCTTTTCAGATCAATCAAGTGCCCTGAATTTCCGACTTAAATAACCAACTGTCTATTGTATATCTCCAGATGTCTAATAGTCATCTAAAATTTATCATGTTCAGAACTCTACTCAAACAACTTCTGTACTCCTGATTAAACTGCTCTTTTCACAAATTTTCTCTATTTCAGTTAATAGTAATTCCATCTCTTCAAGTGGTCAGGCTCAAAATGTCAAAATCATCTTTGACTGATCCCCTTCCCTTCCTTTCTTTTATACCCCACATCCAATCTGCAACAAATTCTGTTTGTCCTATATTTACAAATATGTCCAGAACCTAACTATTACTTATCTTTCACTGCTACCACTCTAACTGAACCAACATCAGGCTCACTCACGTTTTACCTAGATCTTCGTAACTGGAAAATTTGCTTCCACTCTTGCAATCCTACAATCTTTTCCAAATATAGCAGCCACAACGATCTTAAAAGACCAGCAATATCGTATCACTTATTTTTCAATCTCAATGAAAGCTTCAAAATGGCCTATAAAACCTTACACCATCTGGATGCCTTATTACCATGCTGATTTTACATCACTTTCTCACTTATTTTCCTCCACCCACCAGAGCTTGTGGTTCCTTGACTGTACTAAGAATATTGTATATACTAAGAATATTAGAACTCTACTATCCTGAATTCTAAAGCAGTACTATTCATAAGATTACTGTGAATGACAGACTCGAAGATCAAACAACTTATTTTTTTACCTTGCATGAATCTTGAGATTGCTAGAAGTTGCAAATTGTAAATTGCATACATCACATTTATAGGGTTTTTCCTCACCATGATGCATGCGACTATGGAAGACTAGCTGGCATTTTTGAGCAAATCCTTTATCACACAATTCACATTTGTATGGCTTTTCACCTAAAAAAAAAGAAATAAAATCTATATTTAGAAAGAAATATTGTTTTAGTTGCATAAGTCATATAAACTTTCAAGAGTCCATCAATACTAGTTTCAATATTCTGAAAATGTTAATTGCAAGGAGTAAAAAAGCAAATAGAATCTCTTCTTCCAGATTAACTATTAAAAACAGGAGTAGAATTAAAAATTAGTGCTTTTTAACTCACAATAGTAAAAAGTGATCAATTAGAGAAATACATACGGCAATTTAAAAAGTACAAACCTAAGAGTACCAACAGGTAAATGTAGTTGAGGAAGGACTCTTGTGTAATAATGCCAATAAATGTTCGGAAGTTGACAAAGTCCAGGAAGCAGGTGGTGAGATGTGTTAGCAAAATCTGAGTATTGGCCTGAGTTATAATGACTTTTTCTTGTTATTAGTTTTAGTATCTTTGTGTTAAATACTTAATAAGCTTAACGTTTACTTTAACTATGGGGGAAAGAACTCATGTATTAGGACTACAGAGTATCAGTTACGATAAAATAGCCATTAAATACTGGCTCACAATTGTAAAGAAATGTTCAACAGTTTAACACGCTAAGTACTTTTATGCATACAAGTATGTATCAAATTTTGGTCACTGTATATTAATACATTCACTATAAAAAGTATTATTTCAGTCACAATATAAAAACAATTATATCTCCTACAAACCAGTCTTACCTGTGTGAGTTCTTACATGTGTTTTCAGCTGGTTACACTGGGTAAATGCCTTTCCACACAAGTGGCAAACATAAGGTTTGACTCCTTTATGTATTCTCATGTGCCTTCTCAAGCTGCTGGCTTCTGAGAACATTTTCCCACAGGTATTACACATTGGCTTGGCCTTGGAATACCTCTGATCCAGCTCTTCCCCAGAGCTCTCCAGTTCGTAAGAGTTCTTGACACTGTCTATATTAGACATAGAATGTTCTTTCAGAGCACAATTTGGCTGTGATTTTCCACGTTTCCGTTTCACTGTAACAGTCTGTACAATATCTTGTGCTGGAAAAGTATTTTCCACAACTGATGTCAACTCAAGTTCTGAATTATCACTTCTTTGTGCAACCTGTTCTATTATAGGTGTGGGCAATTTATTTGCATCTAGAAATAATTCAACAGATGCATTTTCTAAAATGTCACTGGGATATTGCACTCTTTTATTCTGCCCTGTCTTCTGGGAATTGAAGGCCTTCTTCTTCTTTTTAGTTTGAGATGACTTCTTTGCTAACACCCCTTGTTTAGGATTTGCCTGAACTAAATCTGTTGACACTTCTGATTTCTCCCGACTGTTATAATCTCGTAGAGTAAGAAGACAGGTCTGTTGATTCAATTCAATGTTTCCAGTAATACTAGATATCTCTGTAGAAGAGGGATTAGCAATAAAAGCAAAATCTTCCATCTTTATTTTACATTTAGTGACCACCTCTTCCACCTTGAGATAGTCAGCAGCCTGATGAATTTCTTTAACATTCCAACTGTAAAGAAACAAGGCTAAATGACATTATTCTGATCAAAGAGAAACTGTTTTTGTAACAGACCTGCACATATATTTCAACGTCTTTAAAGTTCTAATCAAGCAGAAAGATGAGAAAGGCATAACTAAGAGAACAAAACTATGCATTTGCTCAGAGAACAAACTCATTCATTTGCTCAGAGTAATGTTTAAGCAAAAACCTCCAGCTTTACAGAACTTGAAAAGTTGAAAAATAATGGTTATTCAGAGCTATCAAGGTACCACTACAGAAAAATAAATGTTAAAATTTCTACCTGTTTTAAATAACACTTGGAACATAACTTATTGCCTCTTCCCATTCACCCTGAGCCCTCTTCAGATTGCAACCAACATTTCTGACTAGACAACAGGAAAAGTATAAAAAACTGTACCTATTATCTTTACCTGCTTCCCTCTGTGAGAGACTTTAACAGTGCTTTTCTAATTTTCCTGTGCATGTGATTCACCAAGAAATCTTGTTAAATGTAAACTCGGATCCAGGTCTGCGGTGGGCCTGAGTGTTTGCATTTCTAACACATACTCTGGTGATGCCAATGCTGCTGGTCCATTGATCATACTTGGAGAAAGGGGTTTTAGCATGTGTTCCCTCTCTTGTAACCCTTCCACTTTGTCTGTGTGTGAGATACCAAGCTAAGTTAGCTAGAGAGTTTGTCATATTAGAATTATAAAGAAACACTTAAGTCACCTTGTCCAACATTCCAGGCCACATTTCCTGAGCACCCACCACTTGTCGTACTAAGAGGGATATTAAAATGATCAAATAGTCCCTGCCCTCTAGAAGTTTACAATGTAGTGAAAGGTTGTTTGACTACTCTAATAATGGCTTCAGTTTTCTTGGCTTCAGTTTTCTTAACTGTAAAATCAGATGAGTTTTCATTAACACCAAAAATGTGACCCTTTTAATTGAGGGGGGCACACGCACACCCACACACTGTCCTTTCTCAAGTAACTTTTCTACTTGCCATTTTCCCCAAATATTATTTAATTCTCCAAGAAAAAATAACTCACTTTCCTATTCATTTTGTGTATAAGCAAGAAAAGGGTTTTGGCCGTAGCGAATAATATAAACATAGACTCTATTAATATATCTTTAAAAAAAAGAAGTAAAACTTGAAATAAAAATAGTGTCATGAACATCTCGGATTATTGAGAATATATGTAATACAGTACCTACAATTCTCTATCCATTTTCTCATAATCTAATGAAATCTGCTTTGCCTCAAGTGTCACCTGTATGTTTCACCTTTTTAAACTTAGCCTTATAACAGCTGTTAAAAATGTTTTATTATACATATAACCATTTTTTTCAGCTGATTATCGACTAGATTTATAGGCCAGTTTGTAAACCTAATCACTAGTTTAAAGAACATTTAATTCTCTGAGAAATTCCACTCCAAGTTCCTAAACATACTACAAATACAGTTTGGGAACATCTGTTTACAAACTGAGTCTTTCCCATAGACAAGAAAACATTACTTAGGATCATCTTTTGTTACAGCCCTTCGCTATAATTTTGGAAATATATATATATATATAGTAAATTATCTTTAGAATCAAGTTATAAATCAGAGACACCACTAGAATGAAAGCCAAATTTACTCTATTACTTTTTATACTTTGGTCTCATACTATGTTGTGTTCAGGGCTCCATAAAATGAACCACCAAACAGATGACAAGGTCAAGCAGTCTCTAAGACCACTATGAACTAACACTGAGTCACACATTAAAACAATTCATATAAATTCATATGAATTATTTATCTATTTCATAAACAGCCTATAATCTCAGTTACAGATAAGAGAACCAATCAGCATTTGTTTATGCGAATAATTGATGTGCTTATGTTTACAAGCATGAAGTTGGTCGCTTAAAAATTTGCCTTTACTTTTTGAACTGTAATTGAAAGTTACTCAATGAAATATTGCAGATATCTAGCTAAATGCTTTATATTAGTAGTTTAACCCCAAGATCTGCCTATGAAATCTATTATAATCCCCATTTTACATACAAATGAAAGATCAAAGTTCTGAAAAAATTGAGTAACTTTTTCAAGATAAGTGTTAGAACTCAAATTTGAGGTAATCTGGCTTCTGAGTCTACTTAATTTTTTATTATTCACTAAATTACACAGACTGTCTATTTTTGGTAAACTCCTCTCCTACATTTGCAGCTGGGCTCAAACAATTAGCTTGCCAGGAAAGATATATACCAAAAGACTGAGCAAAACATCTGGCTTTTCTCCAGACTAATTTTTTGCTTTAAAGTACAGAGTCAGACGCTCTTCAAATCAAGATTTTCCCAACAAAGTTAATGGAGAAAGGGAAAACACGAAATTAAAAAGCAACTAAAATTAATTGGTTTTGTGGTTATTTTATATGAAATATTTAGAATTTTTAATCACAGGCACCTCTAAAATAAACTATTCAGCAATTTAAATAATTTATCATGAGATTAATCTGTAACACTGTTCTGTTCCGTTCCTCTATGGAGCTTATACAGAACTGGCTCCAAGATTTCATTATACCAACATTGAAAGTACAATTCGAAAACAGCATGAATGTTCCTTTTTCAAAAGCATTAAGGAACACCATGATTCTAATTTTTAAAGAGGTATTTTTACATTCCATGATAAGCTGCAATGTAAAAGAGAGAAGAGGATTTTGCTTAATGTGTATGTGTACATATCTATAGAAATCATCTGGAAAAAAACGAAAGACCATTTTTCAAAATGTTAATAGTGGTTATCAGTGAGTGGCAGTTTCATACTTTTCTCCCAATTTTTCTCTAAGAAATGTGGAATTAAAGGGGGAGAAGGGTGAGAAGGGAAAATCAAGGAAACCAATTTTCATTGGGAGATGGGCCTTCAAATAAATCCTTAATCTTCACAGTAACACCAAGGTAGTTACTACCACCTCACTTTTACAGATGGGAAAACTGAGGCCCAGAGAGCTTGCATCTTGCTCAAAGACAGTGACTGATAGGCAAGATCTAATTCTAAAGCGCACAGTCTTTCTATGTCAGAAGATTATGATCTATTCATGTACACACTTTCATTAAGAGATAGAGGGAAGAAGAGCAATATGACTTCTTTCCTTTAATCTCCCCCCACAAATAAATGCATTGCTATTAAACTAATTATATTGATCATTATGTATGGGAGACACACAGTGCCTGTGTTATCCAAGTCCTCAGTACCTACTTCTTGTTGGTGCAGGGACAGCATTCAGCATACTGGAGAACCATTCTAGCATCTTGGACCTGACTTCAGCATTAATATTGGACTCACTGCCATTTATACTCCAATGCAGTTATTTCTGTGAATCAAGATCAGGAAGAGGTCCTGCACATTGCTATTTAGAGTTGGAAATGGGAGCACTATTAAATGAACACAGAAGTTCTTCTTTCTCTATCTACAGTCCTTCACCCCAAACACCTTAAGAAATAGGGGACAGAAAGTGAGGGGGAGAGAAGACCAGAGGAACACAAAGACCAAAAAACAAGGGAAAACTAGAATTCACTTAGAATTCATTGTGTTTGATCTTCAAATTTACATAACTGAAATCACAGGCTTTGTTTCAGTGTCAGAAACGCTTTAATCATATTAACATCCGAGATTTTGTATTTAAGAATACAGCCTGCTTATCAAAATCAGTGATACTAATTTCTTTAAAAAACCAGAAAACACTGTACACATCAATATTTGAACCCTCAGAGTTCAGAGACTGAATATAAAAAGTATACACATCTACTTCAGCTCTTAAGACTCTTGATTAGCTTTTACAAATGAAATAAACTGTGTACTTTACCTGTCAAGGTTTAAAGTTCCTGTGTATATAAACTCCAACAGTTTCTTAAATCCATCTGCCTTCACCTGACTCTGATCAAGAAAGACATTGTTCTCAGAAGTGCTTCTGTAGATTGCACCAAAATACTCGCTAAACGAGGCAAGCACATTCCTATGAGCTTTGAACTGGAATTCCCCGATCACTATGGTGCAGTCACAAAGAAAACCTGCTTCCCGTTGTTTGTTCAGTCTCTCTAAAAGGTGCTCACAGTGGTGTGAATACTGCATCTTGATATCTCAATGGAATTTTACCTCTGCTCTAAAAGATAAAAAGAAATATCAAACCAGCAATCCTAAGTTTCCATCAAACATTTCACCCCAACAGTTGGTTAAGGGCATAACAAGAAGAAGAAAAAAGTCAGTTCTCATTTTATCCCCCCATCAGAAAATTCTTATCAAATACACAATGATGAAAAATGCTAAAGGGATAAATCCCATCTTCGTTTCATGTTGGCCAACTAACACAAACCTTTGGACACATCAATAAATGGCGGAGTGAAAAAAAACTTCCAAAAGCTGGGGGAAAAGCACCACAAAATTTCTCGATTTTGCACCAGCTGAAACTTCAGATTTTCAAGCTCAGCACGCATACATACACGTTAAGGAAAAAAATATCCATTAAGGAGTGACTCCATGGGAAAGATGAGGAAAAGACATGGTATGAGATCTTTAAAACTGCCTGCAAGCCATCGAAACCTGTTAACCTTTAGCGGGACAGAGTTGCTTAAAAACGCTAGGCGAGTGTCCAGCGGGAGGAGAACGAGCAAGGCCAAGACTTGTCAAAGGTTCCGTCCCTCTCTGGGAAGAGGCCACACCCCTTCACCTCCCCCACTCTCCACTCGAGGTGGCACAGTACAGTGACAACGAAAGCCGGTTTCTCGCGGCTTCTGGAGCCCTGTCTTTCGCCCAGCTCCCACTCCCCCAAATTCCCACAGCAAAGGTTGTAGCCAAGGCCAACACGGGGCTGCCTCGCCCAAGCTTTCCACACTAACAGTTTTGTTCCGACTTGAGCTCGAACACCAAGGCGCCTGCCTCCCAGTGACCCAGGGTCTGAAGAGCACGGGGATAGGGGGCTGGGGGTGAAAACAGAACTCACCTAATAGCAAACCAAGCGGAAACAGTTTCTTCACTCTCTTGCCGCCATCTTGGGAAAACGTCACCACGCCACGCTCCGCCTCTCTTCTTCCTCTACGCTAACGTCACATCCGGCCCAGGCGTCCCTTGGCAACACTGAAGGCTCTAGGACCTTGGAGGGCCGATGCTGGCCTGGGCCGAACTGGATGGCCCATAAATACTTACACAACCACTTACATGCCAGGGGACCCCCCAAATTGCGAACGTCAAAGATCAGGGACCTCAGGACTCGCTCACAGAGCCCCGCCTGTCTTCCTGATTCTCAGCATTCTGGTCGGACGACAGTCGGTGTCTCGCGCTCTGCCCGAATTTGGCCCGAGGCCTGGCGGAGCTGCCTGACAGTCCTCATTCCAGATGCCAAACTGCGCACTGCATGCTGGGGTTTGTAGTTGCTCGTCTTCTCCCATCATCCTTCCCTTCCCCAAGAACAACTGCTTTGTGTACTGGACTCTCCGCTGTGGGGAATATTTGAGCTGACACTGATCACCCCTTGTCAGTTTACATACCCGAAAGCTCTTGGTACCTCCTGGGTTTTGTTTGCATCGGCCAACTGTAGCCCAGTTTCCAGGATACCCTTACCTGGAGACAGAAGTCTGAAGCACAAAAGCGGAGCAAAGCAGTTGGGTACACTGGGCATGCGCAACAATGTAGGAAGGTGGGCGTTATACCGGAAAGAGTTCTGAGTCGGGGCTAGGAACATTTTAATACAATTATTTACATCTAATTCATATTTTGTATAATGAAGCAGAGGGAAGCCAGTTTGCATAATATACAAAAAGCAGCAACAGTAAGATCCATAAAGTCATTTATATTAAGGCTTATTCTCACGTATCCGCGGGTATAAAAAATCTCAGAAAAACAAAACTTCAACATTAATTTTGAAAAAATTGGGTCAGAACCACAGGAAACGTATTAGCAACTTTAAAGGACAATCTCACTTGAATTTATTCGTTTCTTCTCTCCAAGACTTTTCCAACCAGATTGTGTTTGCTGTTTTTATATCTTATTTCTACTCATTTTGGTGCATAAAACCACAACAGTTACGTTTATAAAGAAAAAAATTTTGAGGCTGGTTCTTGATTTTGTTACTGAACTTAAGGGTTTGGCCGCTTGGAGTGCTATATTAAAAAACGAAGTGGTTGTTGCATGGTAGTTTTATTTACTTGTAACAAATGAACACGGGGGATTCATATCCAAAGCTCAGTGTCCCAGAGGGGAGGCTTTTCCACTGATTATATATACTATTTGGTCAACAACATGGCAACTTATTCTTTGCAGTGGGCTGCTCTTACCTAGTTGAGTTCCTGTCAAGCTGATCCTGTTTACAACTGGTATGTAAAATATTATGCTACATTCTAACATTTAGTGAGAATGACCCAGACACTGATACCCTAGTCCTATCAAACTTACCTTTCTGAGTATGCTGTTCTTTATGATTCCACTTTAATTTTTGTCGGAACCCTTTCTGATGAATTCAGAAAAATGTATGAGTCTCTCCTAGGTGTCAAGCATGACTGCGTATAAAGAATACAAATGAAGCATGGTCTCTGGCATTTAGAAAAATCTACAGTCTTAGGGGGCAAACTAATGGAAAACCAAATGATATAATAGTCTCAGGGAGAGATAGGGCTAAGGCAGTTTCACACTGATCTCCCTTTCTAAGCTGAACATTATTTTCCCAGCATCAAGTTGTGAGTTGAATTTTTAAAAACTTAAGTTTGTAGCCCTTACTGCACATGGGATACCTTGTCTGATAGGCACTCTCATTTACGAATCCAGAAAAAGGTTGTTTCCGCCCGGTTTCGAACCGGGGACCTTTCGCGTGTTAGGCGAACGTGATAACCACTACACTACGGAAACCTCACTGGTAGGTGGCTTTCCGGAAGGACTATATGTAAGTATTATAATGTGCGGTTTGATTGCTCTTAAAATGAACAGGATTAGTGTAACTTTTACCAGAAAGAAACTAATAAAACGGGGGAAGAGAAAAGAACTAAATGTTCAGTGGAAAAGTGCTATTACTTCAAAAGTTAGAATTTGCGTGAACTTTCAAATTATTTTTTAAAGCCCCACCTACCCACCCTCTAGTTGCCCTTCTCGTGGGTACACTTTCTTCCATGGAAAAGACGTGGTTATTACCTATCCTTTTCCTGCGTTGGGCTGCTGAGGGTGCCAGGCGAGCGTCGGGACTTCCCGGGCCTGGAAGGATGCGCCCCCGCGGAGCACTCCACTCCCTGATTCCGCGCAGCGCGCATCCCCAAACCCCCGAGCCGGGATTTAGCTGCGGAGAAAACGAGGCTCCCATTAGCTCTCAGCCGCTAGTGGACGGACGTGCAAATAGCTTTTGAGTTGCCTTCCCTGCTTCTGTAGATCAGAGCTTCTAAGTTGCGTACTTATTTTAAAATCCTCTTCAGAGTGTGCAAAATTGAGAGGGGAAAATCAGACACCAAGATGCCCTTTCTGGAACACAATGTTTTTAAGCCTGAGCTTCATATGACTTAAGCAATATTACTTTTCCTGCAAACAGAGAGAGACATCCTTAGGTTTAAAATCCAGAATTTTTCGTTATGAGAATGAGTTTCCATATTACCCCGGGGGATAACCTGATGAGATCGCTTAAATAAACAAACAAATAAATAAATACCGAGATTCTACCATTTTGACTTTGAGTACATTATGCTTACAAACCACAGGAAACACAACTATTGCCCAGTATATAGAAACAATAAAAAAATTTTAAACTCACTTTAAATCCTAGCATTTTTCCTTTCTTTTCAGAAGTTGACAAGGTTTCAGAAGCAGTAACCTACCCACCCTGCTGGGACAACTTTCCTTTGTCTAATATCTCCATCTTTTCCCATCTAACAGCGTATTCCAGAGCTTTCCCAGGCTCCTAGACCAACGCTTGTTAATCAGAATTCAATGGTTTGGGGAAATAAAACTTTTTATAGCTCATCGAGGAATTAGAGAAAGCCACATGTGAAGGGTTGGATTGTATCTTTGAGGAGGAAAATCGCCTTTTCCTGATAAAGATGTTCCGGGATGCCAGAGCTCAACTCCCCGACCTCTGTGAGACCCCCCGGCGGGCGGTACTGTGGAGCGCACCACGTGTCCGCGGACTCCACCGGCCTGGGCGTGGAGGGCTTTGCGGGGCCTCTGTGACGCGGCATTCGGGGCCGTGGGCTCCCGCGCATCACTGAAACTTTGTAGCGCCGCCTAAGGGCTGCGCTGCGCCCCGCACTTCCCGTCCTCTTGGCTGTGCCCCGCAACCGGGGCAGCAGGAGCAGCGGGGCGAGCGGAGGCGGCGGTGGCGTGGGCAACATGAGCAACTACCCGCTGCGGGTGGTGATCGACAACGGCTCGGGAGTGATTAAGGCGGGCCTGGCTGGATCCCGGGAGCCCCAGGTTACCTACCCAAACATTATAGGCCGCGCCAAAGGCCACAGTGGGGCGGCGGAGGCCGCGCTGGAGCTGCGCGTGGGTGACCAAGTGCAGGACAGGAGAAGCTCGCTGTGCATCAGGTAGGCATTTTTCTGACTGGCAGGACCCGCGGGGAGGGGAAGGAGCGAGAGCCCTGATGAGGTGCGTGAGTGAGAGAAAAGGTAAGGAAGCCAGGAGAGTGTCAGCTAGCCCGCGTTATTGCAAACCCAGGCCGGGAATCTCCGAGGATACCGGTCATCTAATGAGTGAATATTACTTGCACTGTGTATCTGTACAAATGTACCCAAACGTATAAAGTTATCATTCATAACATTAAAATTCATTTAAGAATGTTAGTTCATGCTACCTTTGTCGTTTGGGTTATTTTCTTCAATTACTATTGTGTGAAGATGAACCCCGCCTCCGCCAACTTTTTTTTTTTTTAAGTCACAAAAGGTCTTCCAAAGTGGTTAGGGAGAATGGAAAGCAACAGAAACTGCAGAGGAAGGTAGTGCTACTTATGCTGGTAGTTAACTTCTCCGAGAGGCTCTGGCAGTCACTGACCATATAGGGATATTGGTGATAAATGTGGGGATTGACCCAGGTTTGAAAAGTAGAAACTGCCATTTATTTATGCTATTTTTCTTCCTACAGCTACCCAGTGGAGCGTGGTCTCATTACTTCCTGGGGGGACATGGAGATCACATGGAAGCATATCTATGACCACAACCTGAAGCTAAAGCCCTGTGATGTCCCAGTCTTGATAACTGAGCCAGCACTGAACCCACTGGCCAATCGACAACAAATCACTGAGGTGTTTTTCGAGCATCTGGGGGTTCCTGCCTTCTATATGTCCATCCAGGGGGTGCTGGCTCTCTTTGCTGCTGGCTTCACAACTGGTTTTGTGATGAATTCAGGTGCTGGGATTACCCAGGGCGTGCCCATTTTTGAAGGTTACTGTCTTCCTCATGGTGTCCAGCAGCTACATCTGGCTGGCCTTGACCTCACCAACTACCTCACAATGCTGTTGAAGGACCATGGCATCATGCTGCTTAGTGCTACAGACAGAAAGATTATTGCAGACATTAAGGAAACCTCCTGTTATGTGGCAATGAACTATGAAGAGGAAATAGCCAAGAAACCTAGTACTATAGACAAAGTTTACCAACTACCTGATGGGAAGATGATCAAGCTCCATGACCAGCTCTTTCAATGTCCAGAGGCCCTCTTCTCTCCATCTCTCATGAACCTTGAGACTCCTGGCATTGATAAGATGTGCTTCAGCAGCATAATGAAATGCGATTCAGATCTGAGGAATTCCTTTTTCTCCAATATTATCCTTGCTGGGGGATCAACCTTGTTCCCTGGTTTAGACAAGCGGCTAGTTAAAGATATAGCAAACGTGGCACCTGCCAATACCCCTGTTCAAGTTATAGCTCCCCCAGAAAGAAAAATGTCAGTATGGATGGGAGGCTCTATTCTTGCATCCCTGTCTGCCTTCCAGGACATGTGGATCACTGCTGCAGAATTTAAAGAAGTTGGTCCCAACATAGTACACCAGAGATGCTTCTAAATACAGACAAATGGCTAGAAGAAAATGTTTTGAGTGTGTGGGACAGAAAACTTTGGATATTATGTATCTGGGAAAAGAGAAAATATTTCAATTATCGGAATGTCCATGTTTCTGTTGCATTTCTATAATGCGGAAAAATAATGGTGAAGCAGTCAACAGATGTTTATTGAGTAGGACCAAATTAAATGCTGGAGGAAACATTTTTTAACATTTTTATTTATTGATTTGAGGAGGGCATTGATTTGTTGTTCCCGAATGCATTGATGCATTCATTGGTTGAGTCTTGTATGTGTCCTGCGGGGGGATCAAACCCCATAACCTTGGTGTATTGGGATGATGCTCTAACCAAATGAACTACCCTGCCAGGGCTTGCAAATAATTATTCTTGACTTTGGAGGTCTTACATTTCCCTTGGAGAAAGTGCAATTTGTGATGTAACATGCTATATGCTAAATGAATGACAGATTTAAGTTCAATGAAGCTTCAGGAAAGTTGCTATGAGAAAAAACTTCATAGCAGAGGCATGCCATCATGGATGGGGTGGCATTGGGATGGGTAGAGAGAGGGGAGAAGAGGGCAGATATCCAGAAAAGCACAATTGAAATGAGCAAGGGCTGGATGAAAACGAACAAAGCATAATCAAGGCATGTTGAATAG